CTAGTTAGAACTAAGAAAAATTCACATATTAAAACCACTAATGTATTTATAGCAGCAGATAATTTTATCTTTGCTGATTTGTCTGTGGATATTCATATGTAATTAAGCATTCACCTCCGTAGCTCAGACCGACTCTCTTTTCGGCCATTCCATATACTTTTGTGCTCTACCATCAATGGGTATCAGGCACACGAAGCGCGATACACGAATTCACGATACAATTAATGGCCATCAGGAGGCTCGACGTCGACGTCGGGCCACATTTGATTTGTATTTATATGTGGCACAAGCGGTGCACGAACGTGATTTCCGCGGCAGAACCGTGCGGGAAAGGAAAATGAAATCGAACAAATATTTATAACCCAATCGCCTGGCCCTCCCGCCCGCCTGCCTTTGTCTGTCAGTCAGTTGGCAGCCGCACGGCAGGAAAAGTCACGCCAGGATGGCAACCGGGTAAACTATAGTAATTGAAAGCGATATCCTTGCGCGGTCTCTCTTCAAGGGCATCGAGGCCTGGTGACGGCGACTGTGGCTGGCCGGCGCCACTGAGATTGGCGGAACGAGCGGATCCCAGTCCGATTATCTGATTGCTGGCGCGGCACTATTCACTGCCAATACCGATGTGGCATGTAATTTGATTATATACAAGCTACTATCCCCATCTAGGACCGCACAATGTTTGTCTAATTGACAGTAATTAAACGAATGCCCAGCCAGGGCCAGTGCCAGTGCCAGAGCCAGTGGCATTGCCGGAGTCAAAGTCAGAGTCAGAGTGGCGGCAAATTTGCCACATCAGCCCGAATGTCATAGCCAAATTGATGAATGATGACCAGGTCGAGTCCGTGGTGAGGGCGATGGCGAGGGCCAGGGCCAGGACAGGGTAAAGCAACAGCTCAGTCATGCGTGCGGGCTTGTATTGTTGGGGCGGGTCCGGGGGTCCTGCCAGGAACATGCAAAGTCATTCGCATATTAAATAAAAATCAACAGAACAAAGTGTTGCACTCTGACACAGCAGCATAGCAGTTCAAACATGGCATGCCGGGAGGATGGCAGGGACTGAGATTTTCAAATGCCAATGTCAGTGGCAGTGGCAGTGCCGTGGCCGTTGCCGTTGCCATTGCCATTGCCATTGGGGCCCTGACGTGTATTGCCAAAAACTCGATTTTCGATTGGTTTTCGTTCGCCTTTGTGCCCGCTGTGACCTCGTGTCGTCGCAAGACCTCTGAATGGCAGCAGCAGAAACATTGTGTTGGCATTCGCCTACATGTGGCTGGGTGTATCTGTGTGCGATAATGCGGCTGCTGCATTTGCAATTTGCTAAATTCATCGGATGCCATGCCATGCCATGCAACGGCAGCAAAAATTACAGCAACAGCCACATGGAAATGCACCCAAAAACTTTCAGCAGGGGCTTCCACAAAACTGTTGAAGGACTCGCCCACCTGTCCGTCACCGGATTTATAGCCAAAGGCTTTTCGGTATTTTCCTCTTTGTCCCCTTTCCTCTTGCCCTCGCTGCAACAGAGCCCGGGGACTGCTTCAAATTTTTGGTTTTTGTTGGCCTTTTTGGACTTTAAGAGTCTTAAAGTAGCAAAAATATTATCCCAAACTCATTTTAATTTTGTTGGAAAATTGTTGGGGGCTTCTTTCAGATTTCCGAAATCCCATAAATTTTTTTTAGTTTTGTTTTCAGATTATTTTTTGGTGCATATACAATAGTACTTTATAAATTGGAATGCGTGGCAGGGTTTCCCCGTGCTCAAAGTTTTAAATTACCTTTCGGATTTTTATGGCTTACATCCGTGTGCTGGTGTACTTTAATGAGTTTCCGAGAATAGAAGTTATCCTAATACAAGTTTCGAGTCGAAAGTAATTGCCTGTCGAGCCTTCCCTTCAATCTCAACCCTAAGAAACCAAATCCCAAGTGAAGTCAGTCAGTCAGTCAAGGTAAATCGTTAATGACATCTTATCAATCACTTCGACAGGTCGAATGACTGCTTCAGGGACTGCTTTCTAATTAATATTTGATGCTGGAGTGGTGATAAAGCCGCAGACGTTATGCAGGTGGACTCGACATCAAAACGGTTCGCCGCAGATGGAGTGCCGGGCACAAGAATAATCTTGCACGCTCTTATGGCTCGCACACAAAGCCAACTTGAAGCCTTTTTCGGCTTGGCTGAAATTTGATTAAGTGAGTGCCAAAGACCGCAAAACGGGTGGAGCGAGGAGGAAGGGCCATGCCATCAATTTAAATCAGTTGGTTAGGCCACAATAAATATGGGTTGCCGAGCTGAGACGTTCGCCGTATTAGCAGACATTTTTAACAATTCACTGTAATGGCCGGGGATCAGTTTTGGCCAAGGTGAACCAGCCAGACAGACAGACAGCCAGCCAGCCAGCCAGTCAGACAGGCAAATGAATGTTTCAGCCGGAATGGCGTCATTTAATCAGGCAAAGTGATTTTTCCACTCTCCACGAACACATACACACGGCCACACGCAGATACTTATGCACAATAAACTTATCATTTCACATCTTTGTGTGTGTGTGTGTGTGTGTGTGTATGTGAGGACAGGATGTAGGAGGAGCAGCAGAAGCAGGCTCACGTAGACAGGAAGCCGACACAGTGCCAGCTGATGTTAAGGTAGTTTAACCTTACGCAGCAACCCAACTGTAAATCTACGCCCGCTGTCATGCAAAGTTCCTGCCGTGCCCCAGAGCCAGTCCCAGTCTCAGTCCCAGTTTCAAACCCGACTCCTAGCGGCCTCGATGTGCGTGTCTGCATCGCGACTTCTCCTATCTACCTGTTCCTCTTCTTTTTTTATTTTTTGCTTTATCTTCCCAGGAGGCGGAGGGAAATTTATTACCATTTTGCAGTTATAATGTTTCAATATCTCTTTGAGGGGAAATGGAGATGGCCTGAGGGCTGGCCTGTGTGGCCATTATCGCAATTTAAGCACGATTCAAGCGGATATATAACCCCCCTGCTTAGGTGCTCCACTGATAGGCCGCTACGTGATGTATAAACCATTGCTGGAGGGAGGAAGCTACGGTTAAAATGGTTAAGTCCCAACATTTTAGGTACCAATTGGGGTCAATAATTGGACTAGGCGTAGGCCGGCGGACAAGAGCCGGAGGAGAGCCCAAAGCATGGCTGGTTAAGCCAACTAATTGGCATGTGCCGGCCTCCTAATGAGTTGCGAAAACTTCAACACCAGCTGCCCAAACAGCAGCGTCAGCCATATTTCCAAATGGCAACAAAATGACTCGTCTATTTCATTTCATTTGATTTTTATTCCTCCAACAATATTGCAAATACGATTTGTTCGACGGCCAGTTTTAGTGATTTTCATTGAGTAAAATGTTGCTGGTATTTCATTTTTCTGTAATTTCCATGTTTGGCCATCCCAAAATAATTTTTAATTATAATTTACAATGTGTTACATGGCATATTAAATATCGGTTGCTTTTCCCACTTCAGAATGAATGATATTACGAGCAATGGGCAGAATCTGTTAAATTCGTATGCGTTGAAATAATTGAATTGCAAAAATTAATTATTGTATGCATTGCTGTTTGAATTTTCATTTAAAGTAGATTCCAAACATGAAATTGGTACAGAAATAGAACAACTCTGATAAATCTAGAAATAATATTCTATTTATAAATCTTCTTTTAAAACTAAATGAGACACTGACTTATTAATTCGCAGCACAAGCGAATATGCCATCAATTTTCCATTCAAGAGCATAGCTGGGTTTTCTTTTAATTTAATTTATAAATTAAAAGATATAAGCTCCGTTTTTTGTACGCATTAAAGAGTATTTTTTGCACAGCGAAAAGTTATGTTAATCAGCAATAAAGATTCAATATCCGTTTATTTTATTACAAGAATGACATTAATATTGTTCTCAAACCCAAAAAAATGCTACCCATATTTAAACAATAAAGTACGAACCATAATATTTATGATACCATAATTAAGCCAGTCACAATAAGAACATACATGTCACACACTTGTCAAGTTCATAATTATACATCAATTAATTTGATTGGCTCAATAACAGTTTCCCAATTAAGCGTAGTGCCATCGAGTGTAGAAAGTGCTTGTAAAAAAGTGGTAGGCCAATAAAAAGTATTTGAATGGAAAATAAAAATTGCAACAGCATAAAATATATGGTTTTATTTTTTTTTTTTAATTTTGTTGCTGGTATTTGTAAAAGTACGAGTATCAATTGTCACGCGGGCACCCACATAAAATGCAATCCGTGGCAAAAATTCGGTGTGGAAAGCATTCGATGCAAGTGGTGCAAAACATTTTATGCTTCATCAGGCCGAAAAAAGCCAAAAGCTTTTGGTTTCCCAGAAGTGGAGGGGAAAGCGTTTATGGGTGCATGGTTCGGTTCGGGAAGAGACTTTATCGGGCCAGCTGCAGCCGTTGCCATGGCCAACTATAGCTATCAGTTATGCAGGATGCTGCCACCGCAGTGGCAGTGGCACTGGCATTGGCAGCGGAAGAGGAAGCGCCCCAGCTGCCTCACTTTTCCAATTTACGCATTCTATCATTGGTTATGAAATTTTCATTAATTTTCCCACATATACTCGAATACTTAATAAAACCAGAAAAACATACGCCAGAGGTCAGCCCCGTTGCGACGGTCTGGCAAATAAAATTGTTCAGTTTATTTAATTGTTTGGTGTTTGTGCAACCACTGGGCGGGGAGGGGGGCTGGGCTCATTTGGGATGCACATGCGACCGAATCGCGGATAAACAACATTTGTTTGGGGGCTGCAATTTATTTAAATTTAATTATTAATTACATAGTTCGTACGAGTATGCATTAGAGTGGCCTGAAAATCCAAACTTGCTGAATTTTAAGTCAGCCCGGTATAGAAAAGTTATATTAGGGGATTCTAAGGCGAGGGCCAAACGTTAAAATATTTCAAACTTTTTTTTTTCCCTCGTCTTAGAATCCCTTAATTAAAATTTTCTATACCGGGCCGTCTTAAAATTAAAAAATGTTTGGATTTTCAGCCCACTCTAGTATGCAAATATTTTATATGTATATTATATGTACATCATTAGTTGTTTCTCTTAGAACATGGCTATGTGTAGTTTCTATTTATTATGCATATGTGTGCTATTGGCGCTGTGTATGCGTCGCGTTGCGTCGAATTCGGCTGGCTATGATGTGGGTTAAGTTAGCTTATGGGGCCGGGCGCGTGGCCTCAACCTTGTCCTGGGTATCGTCCTCGTTTCCTCGTTTCCGTGCTGCTCTGTGTCCTTGTGTCCTTGTCGTGACTCAATCGCCGCCACTGCCGCATACTTGAGCACGTTTGCCCAGGCGCGGCTTGAACGGCACCGATTTCTTCATCATGCGCGACATGAACTGGCCGCCAGCCGCCTCCTCGCTGGCCCCGCCGGCGTCCAGTAGTTGCTGGAAGTCAATGCTACGTCCAAGGCGTGGCGTGCGCACGCGAAAAGCGGGCTCGCCATTGCTTTGCACTGTCAAGGAAAATCGGGAAGGCAAAGCGAAAAACGTTATAGAAAAAATGCCAAAATAATAGAGATGATGGCGTGAACGTGATTGGGGCAACAATTAGAAGAGCTCTCTCTGCCAAAGCTCTCGTGAATCGTGAGCCCACATCCCATCACGCAGCCATCTCCGTTGCGTATACGCAGAGTGTGTCGCACTGGCGGTGACTTACACTGTCGCAGCTTCTGCAACAGCAGGTAGTAGGTCAATGGCGGCATGCTATCCAGGTCGAATTCCTGAGCCTGCGGCGGCAACGGAGCCACGGCCGCAGCCTTTTGCGACAAACTGTTCTCCTCCAGCTCGTCAATGATGTCAGTCAGCTCTTTGTACTCGCCCATGGCCCGCTTATGGCGCGCTTCCGTCATGGCAGCTCGCACCGCCCCAGCGGCTGAGGCGGCTCCTCCTGCCGATGATCCTCTGGCAGGGCCTACGCTGATGTGATTTGCCAAATCCAGTTTGTTTGTGCCCTGCACAAATAAAGTGCCACGCAGCAAAGAACAGAAAGAAAATGCGGCACGCACAGAAGAAAAGAACAGGCAAAATACTTCAGATATTTCCTTCGAGGATATTTGGGCACAGGCGGAGAGAACCTCTCAAACTGTCGACACGTGTTAAGTTATTTTTATGCTGCCTATTTATGCCCCTACGTGCGCTGCACACACACACACACACACACACCCACAGCCATCTAACTCTGTCTCTGTGTGTTGAGTGAAAGTGTGAGTGCAGAAGTGCGTAAGTGTGCGAGTCAAGCACTTTATTGTTTCAATTTACAGCCCGGCAGGCAAGCAGGCAGGCAGGCAGGCAGTGTGTGCCGCTTGATTAGACAACTCAATGTAGATTGAAATGCCAACACCTTAAATCGGCTTGTAAATCGCACTTCACCCATAAACGCTTACTCAATTCGAGTGTGCGTGGGCCTCAAGGCCTGTGGAATTCACAGCAATTTCAGTACAGCACATGTGCTCTTGAAACCCGTAATAATAGAATGGCAGCCCACACTGTTGGATGCATCTAATTCCCGAAGGACATATTCGCAACGCACTTTATCGAGTACCAGGTATCGTATGGTCGGGCACTCGACAAGAGCGCACTTTACTGTTTTGTTTCAATATTAAGTTCATTGGGGAAATTGTGTATTCGATAAAATATTCATGAAATATTTCTGAACGGCGAAATCGACACAATTTATTTATGTAAAATGTTTATGTACAATCCGTGAGCCTCTGACAGCCAAAAAGCAAGAAGGAATACTTTTTGGTGCTCCGAAAATCGCTTAGTACTTGCCTTAAGCAAAATATTTATTACATTCACTGCTTTTTTTGTACAAACAGCATGCACTTTGATGCACCCGTTGCGGAGACAGCCGCTTACACACATTTTTTTTTCCACAAATTTATAGTATAGATAACTGAGCTTACTATCTGCCTATGAGATGCCCTCTCATAACCGAAAGAAATTTTTTGGCTTTGAGGTGAAGTTCTACCTAATAGATGGCATTTGATACACTACCACATTTGATACACTTATGTTTTGAGAGCACCTCCCTCCTGCTCCCATTTTCAATAATATTTTTCTACTTTAGTGACCCATTATAAGTATATGGAATTATTTATAGACTAAAATATTCTGCTAGTACTTCTGCTTATGGTCGTAGAATACTGGGCATTAATTTGGTTATCAATATTCATCAGCAGAATAAATTACGTATACGACGGGGGGTATAACTTTGAATCGATAACTTTCCGTTTCCCAAAAAGATGCCATAACTACCACAAATGCGAATGACAGAAAGGAAATTGAGGTTCGAGTTTCCTCAGAATTCGAAATTTTGAAATGCACAAAGGCATTGGTAATGGCAATGGCAGTGCTGCTGCTGCCATGGCAGTTACGAGGACCTCATAGTTTTAACAAATTTCCGCTCAACCTTGTGCGGTGCAGTGCAGTGTCTCCGGGATAGCGAGAGCGAAGCTTAACCAGCTGGCAAATTATCGCGTAACGCTTGTGTACTTGTGCCCGGGCAAATAAAACTAATTAAGTGGCGCTTGTTCGGTAAGCGCTCAGCACACTCACCTGCAAGGCTTTGGCCTGGCTGGAGACGAGGACGTAACAGGATGCCGCGATAAGCAGCAATGTGCCATAACTTGGTCTACACATAACTGGCAGAGACTTTGGCACACAGACTCAGACTCAAACTCTGGCACAAAACTCAGGGCAGAGACTTGGGTCTGTTTGTCTTTTACGAGCGGCGCCACAAAAGAGGACCCAGGCGAAGGCAGAGCTGGAGATAACAACTCTCTTGGAACGCGTTGCTGGACAACTGATGGCAGTCCCGAGGCGATCAACAGTTTTTATAGCCCTGTGCGCTGGGCCCCATGCGAGCATGATTAGGCCCTTGAATGACAGTCGCTAAATGATTTGTTGTGCCTCGTCCTATCTAATGCCAGCAACAGGCGGTCGAAGAGCACTACTGCCCGCTGGCCAGCGGGGCAAACAAGCGTCTTAATTCCAAACGGAAGTGCCAACAATTTGTCCCCCACAGAGTGGGGCAAATAGAAAGCCCGGAACAGTGCAGCTCAGAACGGTTAACACTGGAATTCCATTGAAATCCTGCTTTATGCAAATCAAAGCGCGTGAGAAAACTGCCACGCCCCAAATAGCCAGAGTATTAATGGCAACACCAACGCCCACGGGCACGTCAAAGCCAATGCCACTTCCAATCGATCAATCTTATTTAAATGTTGACAGTTGTCTTCACATTGTATCCCAGCTTGGGGCTTGTTTGTCGCTGGCTGCTCCACGGCAAACTGTGGGGGGAAAGGCTTGCTTCGCTTCGTGTTGGCCCCACTGCTGGCTTATTTAAATGCCATTTTCTGAGCCGCATTAGGTTCAATTTGTTGGGCAAACAGCTGCGCACCTTGGCTGACAACGACAACCAGCACACTCCTAACAAGAAAAACACGGCCGGAAGGCAAAAGAAAGTTTGTTTGTCGTCGTCCTGCCTGTCAGCAGGCATTTCGAATCAGATTCGAAAACTTTGATTGTCGATTGTCAAATCAATTGGTCAACAAGGGAATATGGGCACATTCTGTACGAGCTGTGGAACGTATAAACCTCTGCATGCCTCACAAGGTTTCAAAAGACGGTGAGATTTTTCATTGTCATGCCATCCGTCAGATGGCTGCAAATCACGAGTATTTTCAATTAACAGAGCGACTTCCCCAGCTCAGACCTCGACAATCCATCAGAGTTGGTTTTCCTTGGAGCTGGAATTGCTGCTACTGTTGCTGCTGCTTTTTGCAATAGTTGCAACACCCCGCATCCTGGAGACTGCAAAGCTGCTGCCCGAGTGTTTATTTTCGCCACTAATTTACACAAACATGACCCAAACCCGAGAACCCGAGACCCCGACCCCAAAGGCTAACCCCAGAGCTGGCATTTATTTATTTAGTAACTCAATGTGGAGCAGCAGCTTTTCCTCCTGCCACTGAGCACTGAAGGATTTATCTATTTGTCCAGGGCTTAAAATATTTCTCTTCAAAAAACAAAAACTACGAACACAACGCTTAGCCGGAATACGGACATCTGGGATACCTCTAAATCAGGTTTTTAAATTCAGTAAAGAAGCCCCACCTAAACTCTATTCAATGAGTCTGAAATGAGCAGATTAAATACACATATATGAAGAGATACTTAGTTTCGATTAAACAGTGGAAACTTGACCTGAAACAGAAACAAAGTCAGTTCATCAAGCTTATTAAGCCTACAATAACGAAGATTTAGTTATGCAGAACAAGAATTTATATATGTACTCCAATACGCTTCCTTATTTAATACATACAATATGTCTACATTTGGTACTGAAATATGTAGTACCGTGTATAATGGAAAATGTACTAAGAATTACAAATAAATTTAACCAGTACGGCCAACAGTTGCTGCTACATCTGTCAAGAGATGATTTACAGTAACAAATTGGACTAATCCCTATTGATAGGTGCACTCAACACACCTTGGGCCTGGCAGATTGCTCCATCTCAATCATTTGCCTATTTCATATACAGATATACGAGTATAAGGGGGGAGGAGAAGCATTCAATAAGTTTGTGGCATTAATGTTTGCTTTAGCGATTTTGCGATTTTGCCGACGGTTCAATTATTTGCTCTGGTGGGCTTATCAGTTTGCTAATGCTCTGGAGCTAAGTCTCCAAGTTAGAGGGCTGCTAATGCCCTTCAGCAGCCATCCAGCACCCGTTGGGGGCTGAGTGTCGTTCGGCCAGGGTCTGGCGAAGGGATTTAATTGAATTAGTCGTGTCCCATAAGCGGCGCTTTGAAGTTTGCACTTTGCAACCCACCCACACACCCCCACATCCGCAAAGGCCGATATCGTTCCATGGCCTGGTCCTTGCGCACTTTCTGTTGACCCACGGAACAGGCTCTGTTGACGTTTGCTCTTAGGCGGATCCCGAGTGCCGGAAGGGCAACGGCTTTATAGAGTTTCCGCCAAGTCCAGCACTGCCAGGGCAGTGCCAGAGAAATAATTAAGCTAAACAGTAAGCCAGAGAGAGCGAGCGGTTGGAGGAGAATCCAGAATGAAGTGGAGAGAAGGACTTTGCCAGTCAGGCGAACAATAAATAATAGCGAATGAAATTTATAAGCCAGCAAAGGGGATGAATGAGGGCCACGACAATGATGTGGTTTTTATCCTCCCCAAAATCCAAGTATTAAAACATTTAGTTGCCAATCTTGGCAATGAATAACTGATAGTCCCTGGCCGGACTCGGCAAACAAGCCAAGCGGACAGGCGAAGGACAATGTAACGAGCAGCGTGGAGATTGAGTCTTAGAATCTCAGCAAGGTTGCCATTGTCTGACTCTATCAATCTTTTAGTTGGTGTGTGTGTGTGTGTGTGTGTGTGTGCCCCAGAACACTTATAAATCCTTAAAAATATTGAAATCAAGACGCTGAAGGACAGCCAGAGCGGAAGCCCCCCCCCTCCATTTGTTACACGAGTTGGATAAAAAACGATTTATGTGACTGCCAGGGACATTTCAACTTCAATTGAATGTACTGACTCAAGCATAAGACTGCGGTCTGCGGTCATCTGTGATGATGTGGTGGCTGTTTTCTAGCCAAATTGAGTCGGGGATAAAGAGCTGTCAGAGCAAGCTTTTGTCTTGCAGGAATATATACATTTAAGGCTTACGCCTAGACTAAGGAGAAGTCTCTTGTAGTGGATTTGTTTGCGAGTTTCCTCTTTACTTAGTGGCACAAAAAACTACACAGCGACAAAACAACTCTGAAGCAGAAATCTGACATAATCCTGCGCTTTAATCCCGCCTTTAAAGCAACAGCTCGTCTATATGCCATTCCTCCCTTCCCCCATTACAAGTGTCAGCACTTGACAGCACTGCAGCTGTCTTTCTCTTGCCCCTGTCCCCCTCCTGTCGCTGGAGATATGCAGATGCGTGGCTTTCCTCTCAAACAGAGTGCATGCCAAGAGCTCACCCTGCGTATACGCAATATATATTTCTGTTATTTTAATGTAGCAGGGCCAGACGGACGGACGGACGGACGGACGGACGGAAGGAGCAACGACAGCTGGATGAAGATGGGGAATTCGCTCCATGTTGAGTTGAACGAATGGCGAAGCATCCATATCAATATGCCATTGAATGGGTTTATGGTCTCCGAATCTTGTATGCACATAAAGATTTCCCCATTGTAGCAGTCCTCATTTTGGGCAATTTTCCACCGTTTTACAGCCTCACACTCCGCGATTATTTCATAAATTATTTATTTATTCATTTGCAGTTTCCCCGGCGACGACTGTTGTGCGCTTGAGCATTGAATCGAGACACTGCGAGCAAACTCAAACAGAGACACGTACCGGAAGAGGTGCCCCCGAGAAGATTGGGCAATGGCGTGCAGGAGCACCGCTGTAACTCTGGGCAAACACTCCGACTCTGACCCGGAACAATGCTGTAGAATGAGGACGAAGTTCGGTCCGTTCGTTTGCATTGCAGATTGCAATTATTCGCGTTTTAAATTACGCGCATAGTTGGGCAAAGATAAACTTGGCAGCACAGCAACGACGACGGGAAATCATTATGAGCATCAGAGCAACGTAAAGGACTTTAATAAGCCACGTTTTAATCAGAGTTCCGAGCGTTAAGTGACCGCGAAATGAGCGACATGTCAAGGACCAAAGTTTCTGATTTCCTCAGCACCATCAGCAGCAGCAGCAGCAACAGCAGCAGCAGCACTGCCATTAGCCAAGCGCCGACGACAATGACATTAGCTGCAACATCATCAGCAGCAGCAGCAACAACAGCAGCAACAGCAGCAACAGCAACAGTGACTGCGACGAGCAGGCCCACTAAATCGATTGCAACATTCGTGGCCGGTAGCGCTGCCTTTAATGCCACAGTCACAACGACAGCCACAGCCTCAAAGAGTAGCAACCTTTTGCTAACAGCCTCCACATCTACAACGACGACAACGACTTTGCCTACAACATCACAATTTGTGGATGCCTCGTTGACATCGCTTTCATTAACAGCCACATCGACAGCTTCAATAACATCCTCGTCCGCTGGAGCTGGAGCTGCAGCTGCCACTGGCACTGGCACAGCAGCCCTGTGGTCCTCCGAGTCCCCGTTTGAGCTGTTCCCAACAGTTGGGACAAACATAACAAACAACATCAGCAGCATCCTCGAACAGGGCGAGGGAGAGCTGGAAGACAGCTGGGTGGATCTATCGGTGCTACTGCTTAAAGGGATTCATCTTCTCGTCAATTATCCTGGCCGCAGTGCTGGGCAATGCATTGGTCATCATCTCCGTGCAGCGCAATCGTAAGCTGAGGTAAGTCCTTACATCCTTTTTGTTTTCCTGATCCGGATCCCGGTACCGGTACCGGTCTCGGTCCCGGTCCCTGTTCACCTTTGACAATTGAATTTAATTGACGGTCATTGCCGCAAGGGCTTCATAACAATGCCGACAAGTAAAAAGCAGGAAAATACTGGGAAAACTCGAGCAACCAGGTGGGAGCGGGGGATGGGCGGATGTGAGGGCGAAGCCTTTGGCCTGCGTAATAAATGTAATTTAAATGAGCGACAAGTGGAATAATAAAGCACAAAACGAAGTTAAATGCGAGACAAAAGCCCATCGCAGCCATGAGAACGTTGCGATGACAGGACGCCCCAGAGTGCAGTGCAAATAAGTGTAGCACACAATTGAGCGCAAGGCTCTCATCCTGCCTCACTGTCCGACCCGCTGTCAACGCCACTGCCAGTGCCAGTGCCACCTCCCTCCCACACACCCCATTATGTTGCACAACGTTTGTGCGTGGCGTGAATAAGCTGCAGGATTTTGATTAAAGATTTTATGATGCCACTAAAAAGTTAAAACACCCGCTAGATTACCCTTTATCACCTCCTTTTTACCATTTGGAAACTTGGAATCCAGGATAATATCTTGTGGGGAGGTGAACAAGTGCAGAAAGGAAAAGCTGGATTATTCCGGGCTCTACCTTCTATTACTAAGCTCTTTTTTAGCTCAGCTCATTCGGCAGTTAACATTTGTTTGCCTTGTTGGGAAGGGCTTAAATCAACAAATACAAATGCAGCTGTAGATTATTTTCTATTATTTTATTACTTAACTTATTTGCTTATTTGCTGAATTTATGTTTCTTTTGATACCCAAAGAATGTTATTTTATGAGTTCTTGGCTATAAAATTAATACTGTTCGCCTGGACTCTCAATGAAGTTCGACTATCCTTATCATTCGATCGATAAAAATATATCCTGGCAGTCAGGATGTGTAAAAAAGTAATAAACAATATTTGCATGTACGAACGGGTAAACAAAACAAAAAGTTTGACAAAATGAAATTTTGTTGGACATCCAATGAAAGTAAAAAATGGAAACTCTTTGTTTTTTTTCACACACATCCTGTCGACACATTAATAAACACTTTTCAGAGCAGCAAAAAGAAGGAATAAAAACGGTGACACTGAAACAGAAACAGAAAAGAGCACGAAAAGAGCAGGTGCTTGCTTGTGGAAGTACGATATAAATTTGATATAGCCCAAACCGTTGCTGGGCAACCGCATAAACCTCATTTTGCTTCTTTGATATTTGGCTTAAAATGGATGCTGTGCTCTGCGCTGTGAGTGGTAGCTGGTGGTGGCAGCTGCCTAGTCAGTCGAATGACTTATGACAGCCAAGGAAATTGCTGCATAAAGGTGACCCGAAGCCGGCAGCTACGAGAGTATGTGCCCAGAGAGAGAGCGGAAATGGAATGAAATGCAATGTTTAGCTAAGCTGCCAGACTTCTTTCCCAGCGGGCAGAAGGCCACGGCCACCGGGGGCCACCAGACCACTCACATATGTATGATGTCCCACTCGTGTGACGTGGTTACATTTTCTCCTCTTCGAAAGCGGGCAAAAATACGCATGGGCTTTATCCGCAGTGAAGCCATCCATAGTCGCGTACTCGTGTAAACCTAACGATCTCTTGGCCCTTTGTTTCGTTCACAGGGTGATAACCAATTACTTTGTGGTGTCGCTGGCCATGGCGGACATGTTGGTGGCCCTCTGTGCGATGACATTCAACGCGTCCGTGGAGCTGTCCGGCGGCAAGTGGATGTTCGGGCCGTTCATGTGCAACGTGTACAACAGCCTGGATGTTTACTTTTCCACGGCAAGCATACTGCATCTATGCTGCATATCCGTCGACAGGTGGGTACATATTTACGGCCGTGCATTGTACACTCAACGATTTAAAGTCAACTGCAGTCTGCAGAATGGGGAAATGGGGAAAGCCTTTAAATATATCTCTCTCAGACCATTAATCTTTCCCAGATGCCTGGTGGCAAATCACTTTCCATACAAAAAGCCCCCCCGATCATCGTCCCCCGCGCATTTCGAATAAGAAACAATTAATTACCGTGAAAGGAGCGCACATCAAAAGCAAACATTAGGCTGGGGCCGTATGATGAATGCGGCCCAAATGATTTGCAGCTGGCCATAATGTGGGCGTGCCAGGGGACCCACACCCACACCCCTTGGGAGCCGCCAAGCTGTTAATTGGCGCTATGCCTGGTCGGAGACTTCCACAGCTGTGACCGGGGATACTCTCCTCAGCCCTGACCAAACAACAATGCCCGATGCTCTCTGCTCGATGGCGGCTGGTCAACGGGGGGACAGTGGCCGTGGGGCCTTTGTCTGTTTTAATTAATTTGTGTTTCACTCACCTTTCGGACGGGCCACAAAACCCACTCGAACGAACGCACACAGCAAACAAAAGAGGCAACAAAAAAGAAACAACAACAGCAAGAAAGAAAGTCCAAATCGAAATTAGAAAATTAATGATGGAAAGCCTCAACTAATATTTCCACCACGGAAACTACTCCTTTCGGTCAGTTATCCTTGTGAGGTGCCTACGCACGCGAAACTGAATACAAATTAACGATTAACGGCCATACAGCGATAATCAATTCTATGGTACACTGAGAGAAATAACTGCCCCACGCAGTGGGAGCTGCACTTATGTATATCCCAAGCGCTCCAAACTCCCTTAGGGATTTCCCTCAGTGGGGGGTTCTTCCTCTCCGTTCACAATTGATTTCCATTATTAAGGCTTCCTGCTCTGGCACCTGCTCAACAGATACTATGCCATTGTGCGTCCGCTGGAGTATCCATTGAATATGACACACAAAACGGTATGCTTTATGCTGGCCAATGTCTGGATACTGCCCGCCCTCATCTCGTTCACGCCCATCTTCCTGGGCTGGTACACGACGGAGGAACATCTGCGGGAGCTCTCGCTGCACCCGGACCAGTGCTCATTTGTGGTTAACAAGCCCTACGCCCTCATCTCCAGTTCGGTGAGCTTCTGGATACCCGGCATTGTGATGCTCGTGATGTATTGGCGCATTTTCAAGTGAGTGTCGTGTGTGTGTGTGTGTGTGGGACGAGCACGAGATGGATGCCGTGACCGATGGACGGGTATGAAATTAATGGCTGGATAAATTGTTCTTCTGTTCTGTTCTTCTGTTCGGCCGTGTGTTTTGCGGTTTTCCAGGGAGGCTGTACGCCAGCGCAAGGCCCTCAGCCGCACCAGCTCCAACATCCTGCTGAACAGCGTGCACATGGGCCACACCCAGCAGCCCACCAACCTGAGCTATCTGCATCCCAGCGACTGCGATCTCAATGTGGCATCCACGCGTGAGGAGACGCACAGTGCACTGAGCAACTTGGAGGTAAGTGTGGAGGTGGCGGGTAGCGGGTAGCAGCTATGGGGTATGTGGGGCACTTTTAAGGGTTAAAATTCTGCTCTGTAGCGTGTCTCTGGTGGATTAGATTAGGTGTTCGAGGGGGGCATGTGCTATGCATGTGCTCCTTTGTTGCTTGTTGCACTCTGTAATTGATGCCACAACATGTGGCTGTATGTGACTACTTGACTTGACAGGACATGCTGCAGCCGGCCACGGATGAGGACGACGACAAGGACGAGTGCGATGAACTGCGCGTGCCGTCACCACCGCCGCGGCGCCTCAGCCGCAGCAGCATCGATCTGCGTGACCTGGAACAGGAGCGCTACGAAAAGGTCACCCACACGGACAGCGCCCCCTCGATGATGGCGCTGCAGCAGCAGCCCTTGCACACCCACACCCACACCCTAAACCAGCTGCAGCCGCCAGCGCCTGTGTTCAATCCTCAGATATGGACGGAATCCTTTCCGACCACAAAAATTACCCAAGTGGAGGGCCAGGAGCTGCAGCCGGAGGAGCAGGAGCAGCCGGAGCAGGAGCAGCCGCAGCATCCGGCGCCACCGCAGCAGCAGCTGAGCCTGACGAGCGGCAGTGGCAACAGCGAACCGGAGCCCGAGTCCACGGACTACCGGGTCTTCGGGCTGTACAGCGACGAGAGCGAGAGCAATGACCACTATGACACGCACCTGCCGCTGGCCGAGGACAACAAGGAGCTGAAACGCCTCATCGAGGACAACTATCTGTACTTCAAGAAGCAGACGGGGGGCACCGTCATCAGTGCCCCAGGAGGCGGCAAGTACGCCGCCCTCAGCGAGACGGACTTCATCAGGCTGAAGGCGGGTGCGGCGGCCTGTGGGCGCAAGGCGATCGCCGCCAGCGACTCGGAATTTCTGCGCACGATCAGCGAGGCCAGGGCCAGCACGGAACAGCAGCGGCAGCAGCAGCAGCAACAGCAGTTGCCCGGCAAGGAGAAGGGCTTCAACTTCCTCTCGCTGCTGGCCAAGACGAAGCGCTCCAGTGCCGAATGCTTCGCCCTGGAGCGGAAGCGGAACCAGGCCACCTCGGAGGGGTCCAGCTTCTTCCGGCGCGCCCGCAACCGGAAGCTCTCGCACAGCTACAACGGAAGCGCTGGCGGCGGTAGCGGTGGCGGCAAGGAACGCAAACTTGAGCGACGCCCGCGACAGCACAGCGACACCGACTCGACGCCCAACAAGCCGGACATCCTGCTGGACATCAACGTGCTCAGCGAGCAGAGCGGTGCCTGCGTCATCCAGCAGTTCAGCGATGGCGTGCAGCTGATCGACTTCAGCGGCGACACTGACGGACTCGGCCTCGCCCTCGGCCACGGCCACGGCATCGGCCCGGGAGACGAGCTGGCCCAGCTGGCTGACTGCTTTGGGGAGTCCCCCAAGCATCCGGCCACGCCGCCGCCCTCCCTGTCGCCGCCCGAGCTGCCCGAGCAGAGCGGCATGCTGATTGCCAATAGCGCGGAGCTGGCCGAGATCTTCCGCTCGCTCAGCTTTCCGCTGGGCGAACAGGGTCGCAGCAGCGTCGGCTCCAGGCGCCAGGCGGCGGCACCCCAGCGAATGAGCACGCTGAGCGATCAGGTGTGCGCCAACTATCTGATGTCCCCACCGAACACACCGACCCCCGCCACGGCTTCCAATGGCAGTGCCCTGGGCTCGCACTCCAACTCCAACTCGCAGTCGGCGTCCATCAATGTGTACTTCCTGTCGCCGCCGCCGCCGCATGCGACCGGACCTGGCTATACGCCAAGCGACACATCGACGGTATCGCTGGATGTGGTCACCACGTTGCCAGTGCCGCAGCCCACCCCCCAGCCGCTGTCTGCTGTGTCCAACCATCCAACCAACCAGCAGCAGCAGCCCCTCAACATATCCACAAAGCCAGAAATCATTCTCGACTCCACGCTCTCGCCCGTGGAGGGCGGTGACGGTGGCGATGGCCTCGGCGGTGAGCACAGGGATGTCACGTCGCCGCTGTTCAAGCGCAAAGATAGCTCTGGAGATGCGGATGTAAGCGTTTCCGGCGGCCGTCAACGATGCAGCATCCTGGCCGGCTACGATGGCCTGCAGGCCGTGAGGAAGCGACAGGCCTCCGTGGTGACCTATGACGTAAATGTCATCAATTTCTCGCAGGATAACAGCGACAGTCGCAGCTACATTCCCATGGGTCGCGTCTCCACCAGTTCAGCAAGTGAGTAGTGCCCTCCCACCACCCAACCACCCCTGCATAAATGATTGAGTAGAGTAGAGCAAAATGAGCAGAACCCATTACGAGGTGTGTTATTTGGGTTACACTCGGAGAAAAAAGGCAGTCAATCGAAAAGAGCTCGAGATAAGAGAAAATAAAACTCAATTAAAATTCGATTTTAAATATTTAAAGTAATTGCTAATCTTAAATGGGAAAAGTAATTATCAATCGAACTTTCACTCAAGAATGAGAAAATCTATAAATGGAAAGCTAAAAATTACCTGACTGCCTTTTAAATCCGAGCTTAGCCCACCAAAAATTAGCCCATTTAGCAGCAGAATCACCAATAAAAATAAAGCTTTAGTTGATGCTACTAGAGACTTAGACTAGAGCTTTATATTAGTTGCACCAACAGAAGAAAAATAAAGAAACGACGGAGACATGAAGTGAACGCCTGTGCAAAAAAAAAAAAGAGTTGGGAGAGTTGAGTCTGTCATTGAAAGCCTTGCGAAAGGAAGCATCTAATGTCGTCCTGGTCCAGCTGTTTGCTTTGTTTCCTCTCTCTCTGCTCCTCCCTATGTGTACGGCGATGCATGGCACGCATGCGCATGTGATCTGTGCTCCGAGTCCTTGTCCTTTGTCTATGAAATGCTTATGTACTTTGTCTACTACTTGTCTCTCTCTCTCTCTCTCTATATCTTCCTATCTGTAACTGTAACTGTATCTCTATATCTCTCCATCTATGTAACTGTCTCTCTTCCACGACATTTCTTTTGTGTGTGTGTTTGTATGTGTAAATATATGTAAACCGAATCATCAAATTTTGTCCAACCGCAAAAAAACTTCTACTCCAAACGAAAAAAAAAAAAAAAAACCAACCAACCAACCAACCATTTGTGATCGTCCCCGAACCAAAAAAAAATCAAAACCCGTAAAATCAACCAACAAAACCTGCAAGCAGAGCACGAATTTTCCAATAAATCCTCGCTCATCCGACGCGGTGGCATCTGCATCTTTGTGGATGAGGAGGAGGCCGAGATCAGTGATCAGAAGCCGCGCGGCATCAAGTTTGCCCCGGTGTCCAGCCCGCTGCCCAAGTGTCCGCTCTGTGGGAGCGATATCAGCACCGCGAACGCCACAGCCACAGCCGCCAATGCCACCGCCACAGCCAACACCACAAGCAACTCCACTGACACCACCGCCAATGCAAGTAGTAAACGTAGTAGTCACGCCCAAGCTCCAGATTTGGAGCCACAGGAGCCCACACGCTTCTGGCACAAACGTACGGCGGCGGTCACGGCATGCTGGCAGCAGAGGCAGCGCCATCGGAAGCGCCGCTCCAAAGCCGGATGCAGTCACTGTGGTGCAACCGGTGAGTCTTGTCGTATCCACCACCACCACCACCACCACACAGCAAACAGTAGCCAAGCTCCCCATCGCTCTCGCTCTCTTTTTCTCTCTCTCTCTCTCTCTCATTCTCGCTCTTTCTCTTTTTACCTCTTACCTCTTTTGTCTTTTGTCTGTCTGTCTCTTGCTCAGTCAGTTTCTGTATCTGTATCTGCATCTGTCTCATGTTTAAGCACTTCAATCTCACGCTTTTCCTCCGCTATCAGTGTCAATCATTCGGCTTCCTCTCGCATCAGCACTCGCATCAGTTCAGGACACACACACACACACACCCACAAGCACTCACACACACCACTTGTATATACAGTACATGCATCCTTATACATAAGTATCTCACTGCCCCAAAACCAACATCAAATACATAATTTAAAGGGAAAGCCAAGTCTTTGGTCCTCAAATCGAATTAACATCATTATCTGTCACCGGAGAAGGTCTACAGCTGACCACAGGATCCAGCTGGACAGGCAAATGGCCCAAACCCAGTTTTAGACACCTTCACTTGACGTCTCTACTCAGCTGATAGCCAGCTTAGTCAGTGGCGGGTTCACACGCACCGGGCTGAGCCTACCGTATAACGAAACTGAAACCCATCTGAGCTGTCTCTCCCCCCCCTCATGCTGTACATAATTGCTTCCGTTCTGCACGTGCGTTTGCCCTGCTTTGCCATTGGTTTTTGCATTATGATTTCGTTCCACCTTGTCCAACGGCCAGTACACCACCGCCCACCCCTTCAGCTGACTGGCACTTAACATCGAGCATCCATCCAGGCCTGTGGCATCCTCTGCAGTGGGCATCCATCAACGGATGATGACGACAACAAACAATCGAGTGGGCGGAGAGCGAAGGACAAACTTGTTCGCCACTTCCTGTTGCTCACTGTTGTCCGTCTGATTTGTTTTACTTTCTCCTGCCCCCCAACTCTCACTTACCAGAGACGTAGTATATGTATGTGGCACAGGAGTACGGGAGTACGGAAGTACGGGTCTGGGTCTGGGTCTGAATGCGGGGCTGTATGTCTTTGTGATAACAAGTGTCCTGTGTAAATATTTTCAATTGTTTGCTTCGTTTTTATTACTTTTCCCCACACCCCACCCCACCCACACACACACCCACAAAACATTCCAATGAAGCACCCAACAAGCCACCCACCCAGAATCAGAATCAGTACCAGCAACAGCAACAGCAGCAACTGCACGAAGATACGAACTTGGTACTCGGTACCACACACACACACACACAGATGCCGGCAGTGCAATGACAGTAATGACAGTGATGGGCTCACGGGGAGGCGGGTCCGGGGGGGATTATAATGGCGTCGATCCAAGTGCAATAGATTACTAATGTGAAAGTTAAATATGTGAGGACACGAACCGTCACACATGCCGGGCACTTTCTCGCCACAAACCGAACCGAACCATCACACACTCACACTACAGAAAACAGCTAACAGCTAACAGCAAACTGTCAATTGCAATGGCAATGGCTTAACAGCAAAAACTTGACTCTGGTCGAGGGCCCAGACCCGGGCTAAAGCGAATCGAACCGCAACGAATCGAACCTAATCAGCCAATTGCCTTCTCTCATTTCATTTCAATCCTAAACTCTTTATCTGCCCCCACAGGCGGCTCTGTGCGGCCGGCAAAGGGATGGAAGGCCGAGCACAAGGCCGCACGAACTTTGGGCATCATCATGGGCGTCTTTCTGCTCTGCTGGCTGCCCTTCTTCCTATGGTAAGTCCACAATCCAGCACAGCCGGCTCGGTGCTGCCTTTTCATGGAGCTCATCGTTTGAACTGTTCTCTCAGGTATGTCATCACCTCGCTGTGCGGTGCGGCCTGCCCCTGTCCCGATGTCGTTGTGGTGGTGCTCTTCTGGATCGGTTACTTCAACTCGACGCTGAATCCGCTTATCTATGCCTACTTTAATCGGGATTTCCGTGAGGCGTTTCGCAATACGCTCGAGTGTGTGCTACCTTGTCTGGAGAAGCGAAATCCCTACAATGCGTACTACGTCTAGACCGGATATACTACCCAACCCCTGCCCCAAATTCAATATTGAACAATGCCCCCGTTAGTGATATTTAATACTTGAGAAACTCGTAATACCAAAGAAAATAAGCAAGGAATAACCGAAAAGGCGTTCGTTCGTGCAAGCATCTCTAGCTAGTAAAATCCTTCGAGCTAAGCAATACTCAATGTGTGTTTCTGTATACGTGTAATTTTTCATTTAAGCAACGATAGGGAATTAAATTAAATTTATGTTCTGTGCGCCCCACTCGTACGGGGAGCGTACAGGGAGAGCGCCGCTGCCCCAGAACTACACTAAACATAATAAATATATATATAACTGTTGTTGTCTCAAGAACAAGATATACGTAAACATACAAATATACATATACATACATATATACGATATAGGAAAGTCAAGCAATTGGAAATAGATAGCTTACACATACATGTACGAGTATGTATGAGCACAGACTCCAGAGTTCAAGTAAATACGAGTACGAGTATATTTAAGAATCAACGATTGTCTCTTCGGCGTTTCGAAGGGTTTACACTTTTTGCTGGAAATGTCTCATATCTTAAATATCTTCCTGATATTTCCCATTTCATATGTACGATTATTTCAATACCAAATTTTAATTATATTATTGTTTTTGTTTGGGTTTATTATTAAAGCTGCAAAATCTCTCTTTATTCGGTATGCAGCGCACCCAAATATCTTTGGTATACAGTCCCTTCCAAGCCCCAAGTTAATCCAAAAAAATAATAGAATAAATCCCAAGTACTTATGTACAAGACAAACCCCCCTCTTACAATCCAATTCAATATTTCCAAGAAAGAGTGTAAACCTTATAATATGTAATACACATTAAGCATTAAGTATCATATATTTATAATCTAGTGTTACGTCTACTAGCAAACCAAATCTACATACTCGAATTAAAACGAAATTGAGAATTAAATTATACAAATTATTCAATTGAAATGATGTAAACAAAAACAAAAAACAAAAAAACAAAAGGATAATGTGAACAAAACGTGTACGTTAATGCTTTGAATTTTCGAGCAGAATGACAATCTACCAAAAAGTAAAAGAAAAAAGAAACAAAACAAAGCAAAGCAAAGAAAGGAAATGAATCTTCAAGTAAGAACAACAAAAATTGACAAGCTGTAGAAAATTCACTGTAAAATCGATTTAGTTTAGTTTTACTTTACTTGTACTTAAATTTGGTTGCCGGGAAATCCCCACTCTTGAGTTGAGAAGACTTTTGTGATAGCAAAGGAAATTGATTGTATTTCTAGTTGAATTGGTTTACAAAAACGTTTCTTGTCTAAGATAAAGCATCCCGTACATAACGAGTAACCTAACGAGTATCTATGTACTTATGTGTATGATGTATGTGCGTGTGTGTGTGTGTGCGTGTATGTTGCTATGTATGTATTTCCATGTACTTGCTGAACTATGTAAACTATTGCATATTAAAGTGTGAAACTAAAGTGTTTTGAAAACAATTGAAAGCGGCGTGTTCACTCACTTACCCCACTCACTGTGCGCGGCATTTATTTTTAGCATCGAAGAGAGCGAATCGGTTTTATATATAGAATGGTCATGCCGGCTGGCTGCAGATGTTTTCCGATTTTGTCCGTCCGGTTCGGTTAGTTTGCTCACGCTCGTCGCCAAATGCCCAACAACGCCCGCATCGAGCACACGTCCTCGGAAGCGCACGAGGGGGAAGCCACTTGTCTGGCGTACTTCAACCATCAGCTGTTCTCCGGTGGCGCCGATGGCAAAATACGAGTGGGTATATGTACACATGTACACCTGCCGCTGTTTTGGTTACATTTTCGCTAATCGACTTGCAGATCTGGTCGGAATCGCTGCAACTGTTGGCCACGGTGAACGCCCACGATGCGTACATCTACTGCATGGCCGTGAATGAGCAAGGGAAGCTCTACTCAAGCAGCTGCGACGGCCAAGTGAAGTACATGCTGCCGCCATACGGTGATGCATCAGTGCAGGAGCTTTTCCGCTGCTACGACGCCATCCAGGCCATGTATTGCGATGGATCTGTGCTGTACACGGGCGACGACAAGGGTGTGGTGACCACCTGGAGCAACGATCGGATGCTCTTTAAGTACAATCTGGTGGAGGAGGTCAAGTCGCTGGCCGGCGAAGAGCAATTAATCTATACGGTGCGTGATTTGGACGTGGTGGTGTCCCTGACGGTGGATGGCAAGTCCGGCAAGTACAGCAACAAGGCGGTGATACCTGGAAAGTCGCCACTAACCCTTCTGGGCCCCTTGGTCGAGGGCAAGCGCAGCTTCATTGCCTTTCCCGATCGCACAGGCATGGGTCTGCAGCTGGTTAACAATTTGCCGCAGCAGAAGTTTGCCCACATCTGGCAATTGCCGGTGAGTCCTTCAACTCAAGATGTATTCGGTTCGGTCCTTATGTTGTGAATGTTGTGAAATTGCTTGCAGAATTGCCACGAGTGGATTGTAAACAGCATTTGCGGCGACGACCGGCATTTGTACTCCGGCGGCTACGACAAACAGGTCAAAGGCTGGACCGATTTGGCCTCCCCACAGCCCCGTGCCCTGGGCCAAGTCGAGGTGGGCAGTTGGGTGAACAGTATCTGTTGTGGCGACAACAATGCTGTGTATATTGCGAGCAACGATGGATTTATTCGCAGTGCGAAATTTGTTTAGAAAGACGCGCGAACTGCATGTGGTGCTGCCAGACCTTCAAAATAATAAGAACAAAACTGCCGAGTGGCAGCACACTGTTTTTTTTTAAATTAACACTAAATATAAATTTGAACACAATTCACTTTTCAAACAACTTTTATTGAATTCTAAATTCATCTTATAAGCTAAGTTTCTGCTCCAGCCTGTGGTCCAGGTAGTCGAAGGCCACCTGCGCCTCTACCCAGCGCGCCACGGAGAGCAGCAACTGTTCGTTGAGGCTGCGGCTCATCAGTTGCAGGCTTAGTGGAAGTCCAGCTCTGGAGAGGCGTATGGGTATTGAAACGGCCGGAATGCTAGCCATATTGGCTGGCTGCGTGCAGAAATCCTGCACCGCACACTGATCTCGGTTTTCGAGCGAGGAGAAGTCCTTGTACAAGGGAGCTTCAGTAAGAGTAGTCGGTGTAAGCAGAATGTCCACCCGGTCTTCTCCTGAAGATGCCTCAAATACCTTTGAAAAGTCTTCGGCGATCAAGCGCCGCACACGCAGCGCCTTTTCAAAGTACTGATCGTAGTTTTTGCGCATCAGCAGAAAGTTTCCCGTCAGTATGCGCGTCTTGACCACATCGTTAAAGCCCTCGGCGCGGGATTGGGCATACAACTGCTCTGTGCTGCGCTCGTCGGCAGCGCGGTGCCCATACTCGATGCCATCGTAGCGAGCCATGTTGCTGGCCACTTCGCACTGATTCAGGATCGAGTATACGAATATGCTGGCTGCCGTATTGGGCAGGGACACCTGCTGCACTGAGGCGCCAGCGCACTCCAGGAGATCTGCCACCTTGGTCCAAGTTTCCAGAACCTCGGCGGACAGTCCGTTGCAGTGATATTCCTTCGGAATTCCGATTCGTACCGCTCCCAGGTCGAGTCCATCCACCTGGTAGCTGTAACTTTGAGAACGGTTGCCTAATGGTCGTGGAATCCTTCTCATCAGGTCCAGCCACTGCATTCAAGACCTCAACGCAGTCGCTTACCGAGCGGGCGAAAATACCCGGCACATCCATGGAGTTGACCAAGGGGATCAGACCATGGCGAGAGACCAGGCCGTATGTAGGTTTCAGACCCACAACACCGCAATACGAGGCAGGATTTCGAGTAGAACCTCCAGTGTCTGAACCAATGCCACTGCAAAAATTTAAATATATTTGGTATTAATAAAATACTTAAGGAAAATACCAAATCAGTATTAAGAAAGGTTGGCAGCCCCCAGCACCAGCTGATTGTGTGTGGAAAACGGTCACTCTGCGCTGCTGTCAGAAAGTCGACCGAACGACGAAAACTTTATTATTTACGAAAATTGCAATTATATTTGCATTCTGAAGCGATGTCTGCGCTCTTTCGTCTAACCAGCCGTGCCGTGGCGCTCCAGCGCTCTCTGGTGGCCAACCAGGCAGCCACACTACGAGCATGCCGCAGCATAAAGACGTCGCCAAAGAAGGACGAGACAATCGCAGCCCCTGCCAGCGTTACAACAGAAGACTTTGCCAACCCCAGCCCCAAGAACTGGATGAGCTACGGCTTCGACTACAAGGACCAGGCCGAGGATCGCAAGGCGACGAAAGCCACCTTCTTTGTTACCGTCACCCTGTGCCTGGTGTGGGGAACCTTCTACTGGTCCTATCTGCCCGACACTCAGATCCGCAACTGGGCCCAGCGCGAGGGCTTCTTGGAGCTGCGCCGTCGCGAGCAGGCTGGCGTGGATCTGGTGAGCCCCGACTACGTGGACCCCGCAAGCATTTCGCTGCCATCGGACGAGGATCTCGCCAACACGGAAATTATCATCTAAACAATTAGTGCACTATCCCCTTAGTTTGTTATGTAATGAATGCAGCTGGTGGCCACTGCCGAGCCGCGCTTTCTGCTCCTTAATAAAAATGCACCTTCCGGCGCGAACGAAGCTACCCATGACGCCCATGTGAAGAATTTCGAAGGAATAATCAAGTTTTCGGGTTTTACGTATCGCCGATTGAGGTTAGGTGGAAGGTGAAAAGTGTAAACAACCGAATAGGTACGGTACTCACGCAAAACACAAGCCAGCGGCCACAGCAGATGCGGATCCTCCTGAGCTGCCACCCGCGATGCGCCAGTTGTTCTGGGTCAGATCCTCGCTCCAGATGTTCTTGGTCGGCCCGTAAATGGAGTCCACAGTGCCGGAGCCCATAGCAAACTGGTCCATGTTGGTTTTTCCCAGAAGCACGGCGCCGGCTTGGCGTAATCGGGAGCACACCGTCGCATCGTAGGGAGGCACAAAGTCCTGCAGCATGCTGGAAAGCCAAAGGAAAGGAGGATGAGGAAGCTGTTCGCTTGAGGATATTCTTGAGCACCCACCGTGAGGCACAGGTGGTGTGTACATTCTCCGTGCAAAAGTTATCCTTAATGGCAATGGTCACGCCATCCAGGCCACTGCTCGGCTGCTTCTTCTGGTAGCGTTGCTCCGATTCCAGGGCCTGCTGTCGCGCTTCTTCTGGTGTGAGACGCACGAAGGCATTCAGCGTCTTCAATTTAACGGCATCCCCCAAAGCCTGCTCCGCCACCCGGCGCGGAGACAGCAGCCCATCGGCATAACTGGATGTCAACTGAAAAGTCTTTAATTAAAACAGTTCTGGCTATTCAATTGAATTCGTGACCCACTTGTTTGATGCTCCACTGTATATGTCGCCGCATTCTCCTCAGCAGGCGGCGGCTGAAGACACCAAGTTCTATTCAAAATTTACAGCCAGAAGGAGAAATAAAGTCAACAAGAACTTATTTGGTAGCAGCTATTGCTTGGTATTTTTGAACAGCTGTGGTACGGCCATACTGCAGCAGTGCTACTATTTTAGCTTAACTAGAGTTATGTGTTACATTTTTTCTAAATACCATAATTAAAGTGAGAATGAAGCTGACGATGTTCTTCGTTTTTTGTCAATTAAATGTATACACTTAAACCCAAAATTAGTAATTTGTTGCCAGTTATTTAAGTCTTGAATCTAGCTTTATTTTTACTCTAAAATTCTGGCAGCACTGCTCCGAAGACAGATGCTATTGATTAGAACGGCGATAAAAATCCAGTCAAACTCAATTATTACCCGGAAACCTTCCACGCAGATGCCATAACGTTAGATAACACCAATCAATCATTACAAGCTAACATCTGAAGTGCATATTAATTGCAAAGGGCTACAGTAAGCTTCACGATGGCCAAGCTGGATGAACGTATTGGCTTCATTGGAGGCGGAAACATGGCATTTGCCATTGGCAGTGGTCTTGTTCGCTGCGGCATTGTAAAGCCCAGTCAGGTGCTCGTCTCGGGTCCGCATATCGAGAACCTAACCCGCTGGCGGGACTTGGGAGCCGTCACCACCGACGAGAACTGCGAGGTTCTGGAGCACACAGACATTGTGTTCATTTGCGTCAAGCCGCACATCCTAGGACCCTGCGCCGCTCAGCTCAAATACAAGCATGTGCCGTCCGCCAAGGATGCCAATAAGCTCATCGTTTCCGTGCTGGCGGGCACCACGCTCAAGGCCCTAGAGGAAAAGTTCGACTTTATCGAGAGTTCCGGCCTGAAGGTGATCCGGACGATGCCCAACACATCCATGCAGGTCGGCGAGGGCTGTACCGTGTACACGGGCAACGCTCGGGTCACTCACCAGGACCTGGAGAAGGTGCATCTAATGCTCAACGCACTGGGACTGGCGCAGCAAGTGCCGGAGCAGATGATCGACGCCGTCACCGGCTTGGCTGGTTGTGGACCAGCCTTTGTCTACACAATAATAGAGGCTCTGGCCGATGGTGGTGTCAAGCAGGGTGTTCCCCGGGCAATGGCTCTGCAGTTTGCAGCTCAAACCTTACTGGGCGCCGCCAAGACTGTTCTCATCACCGGCAAGCATCCGGCCGTGCTGCGCGATGAGGTTTGCTCACCCGGCGGATCCACCATTGTGGGTGTGCACGAGCTAGAGAAGGGCAATCTCAGGTGGCGCAGTGACACGCATTCCACCAATTATTAAAGTGTTAATGTCCTTTCTCTTTGATTCCCTGCAGGGCCACTCTCATCAATGCCGTGGAAAAGGCAACTCAACGCTCAGCCGAGCTGGGAAAGAAGTGAGGGGCGTCGCTCGAACGTCTCCCCATGCTCTCTATTTACAGAATGCAGTTGCATTTAAGTTACAAACTTCATGTTGCTATTATATTTATGACTAATATATAAACGTTTCGACTTTATTCACGATCCTTCTTGCTAACATATTCGACGCACTTGGAGGGATCTGTGGGGAAATATTCCTGGCACTTGGTCATCAGTCGCTTCAGGCCCTGTATATACTTTCGCTGCGTCTCGTCGTTCATTACGTGCGCCACGTTCTTGGAGAAGATCTTTTCACGACCCGTACGCGCATGGATGCCCACCATGGTGACTCCGATGGGCCACGGGGCATTGCCGATGGCCATCTCCAGGTAGGCATCGCTGGCAGTGATGTAGTTGCGGTTCAGCAGATGTTTGACAATGTCGCGCAGGCTGTCCAGGATGTCCTCGGGCAGCGTGTGGTGCTTCAGCTTGCGGAACAGCGGCTTCACGTACTCCTTCGTCTGGGTGTAGATGACGCGCGTCATTTTCACCTTTGTCGACATTATCTCGTGCTTGCTGTAGGTGGCAATCTGGTCGTTCCACAGCTTGAGCAGGAAGGTGAGCAGCGTGATGATCACGTCCATGTCGTAGTCCTTGTTGCGACCCATCTTCTGGGCCATTGTCTGTATGCTCTCCCAGGAAACAGACTCGTCCAGCTCGGCCAGGTCAGATTTCTTGTCCTCTTTGGCGGTGGGTGCATTGGCGAACATCTCCTGCAGATAGGCGGCATCCACCTGCTCCATGGCCTCCTGGAAATCGTTGCGGAATCCCCGGTTAGCCTCTGGTTGCGAGATCTCGCACTGCCGCAATCTGTCGAACGCCTCGGGCTCCGTCTCGCCGAATATGAGAATGGGTTCACCGCGCTCCCGCAGACGTCGGATGACCTCTGTGCGCGGCAGTATGTTCTGTCCATCGGCCACAAAGCTGTAGGCACCCTCCGTGATCTGTCCCTGCGCCACGACCGACTCCTGCTTCTTGTATCCCACTTTCTGCAGCACTTCCTCCGTGTTCTTGGCGTTCAGGTCGCCACGCTTGAAGTACTTCTTCTTGTCATCGATCAGCTGCTTATCCTCAAGTAGTTTCCGTTTACGGGCTATTTCTTTCCTTAACAGGTCCATCAAGCGAGGATTTTAATTGTTTAATTCGAATTTGTAAACAAAGATGCGATACAACTTTGGTATTTAATGTGACCAGCAACGAAAAATACAAAACTAGTGATGTCATCTTTTAGGTCGGCAAAACAATTGGAATGAATCGATATTTGGCAGAATGTAGAATTCTTTTAAAAAATCACGTAGAAACACCATTTGGTAGACCTTCCGAATAACAATTTATAATCTGAATCAAAATCCGCTTGGAACAATTAATTAAGTTATTCAAAAGCATCCAAAATAGTTTTAATTAATACATTCTTCAATATTATTTTCTCGGCCGATATATCGTTATGTCAACATATAAATTTTTATCATCCCTACAGAAAAGACAAATAATTTGCAAAGTTTGGACCGCAGCTCGCTAAAAATGCCAAAGAAAATGGGTATCAACTCGAAGGCCGTGGAGGCGCGCGAGCGGAAGGAGAAGGAGCGCAAGGCAACCCAGGATAAGAAGGCCAAAGACGCCGAAGATCGTCTGTGGCATGACGACGACAAAAGTCTGGCCAAGAAGCAGCAGCGTCGCGAGGAGGAGGAACGCAAGAAGGTCGAGGCGGCCAAGCGGAAGGCGGAGGCCAAGGCACTGCTGGACGAGGAGATGAGTTCCATTAGCACCCAGCGCAAGCAGCCGCTGGCCAAAATCAATCGCCAGCAAATTCTGGAGGAGGTGGAGAAGAAGCAGAGAAACCTGGATGCCATCAACGAGGCCAACAAGCCCGCCGCCACTCGCGTTGTGGTCCAGACCAATGTAGTGGAGGAGAACCTCAATCGATCCCTCGCCGACACCGATGTAGCCAGCAGCATTGACCAGGCGCTAATTGTTCTCAGGTGAGTCCCATCGAAGTGGTTAATCATTTTTTGAGTTTCCATAAGCTCTTGTCATGTTCCAACAGTGTCAACGAGACGGACGAGGACAAGCATCCCGAGAAGCGAATGCGCGCCGCCTACAAAACCTTCGAAGCCAACAATCTGCCCCGCATCAAAGCCGAGAATCCCTCGCTTCGCATGTCCCAGTGGAAACAGCTGCTCATGAAAGAGTGGAACAAGTCGCCCGACAATCCCTTCAATCAGGCGCGCTAGCGGTCGAGGCATCCCCACCCACCCATGGCGACGAGTGTGCGTACTCTAGTGACTCTGCTGCCGAGCAGCTAAGAAATTTTCAACGCAATGAAATCAATTTTTGGATTAAACGCCGAATTTAATTTATACACAAGCTAAAAGTCGGAATAAACTAACATTATTTATAAAGGCCAAGTGCGAACGTCCTGGGCAGCCATGATACAAACTTGATGCAATTTCGGTCCCTTGAAAACTGATTTAAAGATCTCGTTCCTTATGCAATTAAATCAAGAGTTTTATATATATTTAGAGAGCTTTCCTTTGCTTATTTAATGACCAATTTTGATTGGCCCCCCCCATGCTGGACGGAACTTTGTGGCCCTGATACGATTCCGGTTCCACGTTCGCCCTGTTGTGCTTATGAATGAAGTAATTACATCTATTGCTTTGATTGCTGGCCGTCTATGCGCGGCTCAAACTGTTGTCATTTCAAACTTTTTACCCATCTCTTTTTTGTGTGTGTGTGTGTTTTGTGCGGTGCAAAATAGAGAGAATAATAAGTGCTTCCGCTTTCACTGCTGGGGCTACTTGCAAGTTTGGTGGCGTTTGGTGAACCACGAACATACACACACACACACACATCTTTTGGGGCGTAAGGCGAAGGCATCTCCAAATAAATGTACGTAACATCAGCGAGTTAAGTATGTGCTTAGCGTCATTATGTGTGTGTGTTTTTGCGCATTAAATTTGATTTTATATAAGTCTCCTGATATTAGGTCTTAACTGAGCGATTTTCCAAAATATAAAGTTGCCTTAATTACCTTTTCTGACCAACTTTCATTTGGAGCCCAAATATTGAACAAAGAATTCGGGCGTCAGGGCAGATGGAAAACGGCATCCACTTCCATTATTTACTGATGGAGATCATTGGGAATGCTCCGAATCAAAAACGATTTGCTGGAGCGCCATAGAAAGGTACGAAAGATGGAATTTGAAAATCTCCTTTCCCTATTAGCGAGGACGTTATCCGTAAACATAATATTGGCACTGCCATATTTTGTAATTGAAAATGCTACTGCTGATGGAGGGGAGATTGTTTCCAGCTTACATCTCTTATCGTTATCCCACACATCGTTCACTTTTTAATGGTTAGTGTTAGCGGCTTTATTACACATCACATTCCGAAGATCACTCGGAAGCGCCTCCCATACCGCATTCAACAATTAAAATGTTCCACTGCAGTAGATTCGAATTTTAACAGTGGCTCTGTGTCGCTGTTAACCGTTTCCAACCGCTTGAGCTCCAGGTCCAACTGTCAGCTGGCGGTTTTGCTGCTGCTGCTGCTGCTGCTGTTGCTGTTGGCTGCCATTTGCCGCTGGGGCTGTGCTTTCTTTTTAATAAAAATTTCTTTTGTCGTCGCGCAACTTCATTCAAACCGGGACCGTCGAAGGCAGCGGACGCGTCGTGGATCTCCGACCCAAACCCAAACTCCAACTCCAACAGAGACATCTTTGAGCAATCGAACGCGCGAGAGAAATGTAAATGCAAGAAATACCCATGCCATATTGAACCCCAGCATTGTGAGTGTTGTTTTGCAGCTGAGAGAAAAGAAAAGTGCGAGACGTGTTAGGAAAATTGAAAATCAACGGAAATCGCAACAACAACAACGATAACAAAAACGGTAATCGTGTGTGTTCGCGTCTCTCTCTTCGTCGCTCTATCTCTCTTGTGTTTTGTGACTGTGTGAATAAAGTTCTTTTGTGGAATAATACGAGTACCATCACCATCCAATAATAAGGATATCTAGAGCTGGTCAGCGAGTAGACGGGTAAGCCGGGAGTATTAACAGAGCCCCAAAGGCCCTCACTCATAGAGGAGTCCTCTGTCTTGTAGGTTAAGCGGTTAGCAATGCGTACCGCGCCATTACAGTTAGAGCTAATTAGCATACTGCCTGCTATCGGTAAAAAACTCAACTCAACCCATCCCACCTGAGCAGAAGCCGAAGCCAAAGCTGATGGTCACCAATGTGGAAATCAGGGCAAGCGAAGCGACCCACACTCTCTACCCCTCACACTGCACCTGCACTGCACTGCATGGCACTGACACTGGCCAAGTTTGTGGCTCAAGTCTTTTGTTGCAACCTCTGCTATGTTTGTGTTTGTGTTTTCTGCCCTTTTTGCCGGCACTTTTGCAGACTTTTGCAGCAAAAAGCTGCTCAGTTTTTAGTACGAGCATAATTACGAGTATGTTGGCAGCTGCTACTGCTCTTCCGTGTCCGAGTCTTTTCAGATCTCTCGGTGTGGCTTACTTTTCTCTTCATCAAATTTGGTTGACCTACAAATCGTGGACTACATGTTAATTGGTGTTTATTTTCATCTCTCTGGAAGAACATTCCCCATTCTTTTGGCCAAATATTGTGAGGTTCATTGACCATCGATGTCCGTACGAGTACGAGTACGAGTACGAGTGATGCGATGGTGTTATGTAAATACACTAGCTGATGGTTTTCCTCGGATTCTGGTAATTAAATTCATACTTTGCATGAGATTTGATTGGGGTTTGCGTGTTGACGGCGTTATGCATGCGGCTGAAGATTATTCAATCCACAGACCAAGAGCCAACGAGATTAATTGGCAGTTGGCCGTTAGTTAATTTATTACTTTCACAATAGGTCGGCGCCGCTCGCCTCCCAATAGGCCGGTAAGGAGACCATTGTCCGCTGTCTGATTTATAGCCATCGCCAGCGACCCAAATTGGCAATTGTTAGCGAAGCAACAGAGAGAACTTGGAGCAGAACTTGGAGCCAACCCATTTATTTGATGGCACGCGCGGGCGCTGTCTCTACCCCGGCACCCCGCTATTGCAATTGCATTAACAACAACAGCTCAGCCGACTGAGCCAAAAAGCCAAGTGACCATAAAAGAGCTGCTTGTAATACAGCAGTAGCAACAGCAACAGCAGCAGCAGCAACAGCAATAACGGTTTGCTGTGGGCCTGGCCTAAACCGAATTACCTACAAGATCTGAGTGATGTACGCATGCCATATAGGGGGCTGGGGGCTGGAATGCCTGGCTTCCTTAGCTGGTAGGAAGTCACACTCTGCCTCCAAAAACGTACTGACAGCCTTGAAAGATTTATTGGCTGCACCGCGGATGGATCGCAGAGCATCAGCAGCAGCGTGAGGTGATTCTTCAAATGGCAGCCCATTCCCCATTCGAGTCAATCATCGCACGGTTATCTCCGTTATCTTGGCTAACCAAATGCATCTGTTTGGGGTGCCTGTGCTCGGCACTTTCCTTTTTATTTGAGTCGTGTCCAGAGGCTCGTGCCTGCCTGTCTGTCTGTCTCTCTCTCTATGTTTCTCTGCTATTTTCTTGCCATTTATATGTATTTTTGGCTGGTCTCTCGGCCAGCGGCTATTTGCTTTGGCTCCAACTTCAACTGCAGCTTAAACGGACTCTTGGCCACGGCTGTCATTCAACGCTTTTCGCTCAGCCGTTTCCATTTGATTTCTGCGGACAGTGCGAGTACTTTAATAATAGCAGCAATTTTATTGTACATCTTATATGTAGCTCGTATGCGCCTGCCTGTGTGTGTAATGCATAATTTTTCCCGCTTAATGCCATAAGTGGTTGTAAATTTTCAACTCGAGTCGACTTCATTAAAACTAATAAAATGAAATGCAACGAAAATTCAAGTTTTTCCCTCACACACACACACACACACACACTCGACTTGAACTTCACACTCTGCCGCGGAGGCAGGCTGAAAATTTCACCATTTCTCTTTGAAGAACCTACGCTGCCCGTCGAATAGCTGCCGGCCGAGAGACTGCGTATTATAATTAAGATTTCAGGCACGTTGCCTTGACTTTCATTGCCATTTCTTAGAGCCCTCCCTCCGTCCGTCCGTCTGCCGCTGTTTCGGTTTATTGATTTTAGATTTTGTTTCTGCTTTGGGTAAGGAACCCTCTAACCGATTTGGCCAATGGGGTTATACATTTCCATATGCTAATCCCCCGCTTAGCATGTAGGTGTCACTTTCTTTCTTGCCTCGCTGTGTGTGAGTGCGGAAATCCAAGTGGCGGATTTCCTCTCAGCCCCACGGGAATGTGCTCGCAAATTTCATGTGATTGCAACACTCGAATGATTCATGAACGCCCCAACACCAGGCTCCGGCCAAGGTGTGTACACCTGCCAACAGAGCTAACAAGAGTTGTGGCAACAGCCATCCAATCCAACAACGCCACAAGAGATCAGCTTATGAGTCGTTGTGGTCCGGCCAAGACCGATTACGCACCTTAAAAAGTGAAATTTCTGTTGTTTCTTTCTCGTTTTTGCCAGATAAAAAAAAAAAACCAAATGCAAATTAATTCGTATGACTAAGTTTTGATTTGCCCATGAAAATGAATACCTGAATGAAGTCCATCATTAAATGGAAACTTGCTGCAGCTAAAAATTCCTCTGGGCCTCGACTCGAATTTGAATAGCTGCAAGATGGCACCAGGCGGGCGGCGGGTGGCGGCAGGCGGGCCCCCTGCAACATTCCAGCCAAAAGGCGGAGCACTCGCCATTGAATGTTTGTCCAATGATCGTTAACGGGGTCAGGCACTGTACACGGGTTTCTTCGGCTGCTTTGGCTGTTGCTGGCTATCCCCCCTAGTCCCGTCCCCGGTCTGGCTTGTGCCTGGCTGATTCAGTTGAGAGAAAAACGTGAGCCAGACAAGCGGGCAACTTTACAGATTACACATTGCCTCATCTGCTGGGGCGACGGGGCGAGGGATCGTGCAGAGGGGGCAATCAAAAATTTCACTGATTTTAATTATTTCTTTATTTTGCGTCCTACCGTTCGTTCTGGTTTGGCTACTTTGCTGCGGCTTCTCGGCCAAATGGTGTACGTTGCGTTGCGTTTCTTTCGGTCTGCGGTTAAAGTTGAGACATAAATTCGTTAAGCCATAAATAATTCTCTCCTCTCTCTCCTCCATCTCTCTCTGTGTCTCTCCGCGTCCGTGAACTGGCTTCTCTGCGTGATTGTGGCGCCGCACCACATTGAACCACAGCACATAGCACAACAGACGAAACCACACTCAGAAGCTGAGCGAGAAATTTTTGGCTGCCAAAAGTGAAAGTTGCAGCTGCCTGTTGCTGCTGCTGCTGCCTGTTGCTGCTGGCAATGCCATTGAAATGAAATGTAGGAAAGCGGTAGCTGCCCCTCTCCCGCTCCCTTTCCCCTGTCCCTGCTAGAGGCCTCCATAAATCAGAGACCCGCCAGAGACAGTTTAAAGTTGAGTCTGGCCCAGAGTCTAATGACTTTGCTCTTTGTCATCGTTGGTGCTGTGCTGCGCTGTGTGTGGGGGGGGAATTAACCCAACATTTTCATGATTATGGGTGTTTCGTTTTGTCGTGGATTAGGTTTACTTTACCACGCTTTTGATGGTTATGATTTTGGTGCCATTAAAAATTACAACTAATTGCGGGCGCACTGTAATAGACGTGCGACTTTTCTGTGTCTCTACCGGGGCGGTAAAAGTTATGCTGTGGGAACTGCCAGTCAAATGAGTTAATCAGAGACCAATGCGAATTGTGTAATGTGAAAGTAAAAGGTAGCCAGCCGCCAGTAAATGAATAATTATCTACTCCAAAACAGAACAGAACAGATTAATTTTTTCTACTGTCCCAAGGAACTGGGTCAGCAGTACTCGTTCCGGGCTAGCAGGTTCATTGATCTTTTTGTATACGAAATATCACATACCACATACCACCAAACGCCAAGACAGCGCTGGCCACAGTCCGTTCATAACTTGTTTCAATATTTAAATTTAATTAAATTAGCACTTTCTACAGGCCTGTTGACTACTTCTGCGGACAGTGACGGCCAGCCCAGCCGTGCCTCATATTGAATAATAATTACAAGCAATTAGCACAGTGACCCACATGCTTAAATTATGAAAATGAAAATTTGTGTGGTGCGCGGATGCCCAACGAATTCCTTCAGCGCTCAATGGAAAGTGGCAATCGACAAACGACAAACGACAGGAATGGCAGCGGCTCGGCTCGTGTGTGCAATGAAAATCACGTTCGAGTGTCAAGAAGTTTGTGTCTTAAGTCTTTCGTTTCTGGTTGAGCGCGTGCGCATTTAACGATCCATCGCGATGACAGGTTTTTCTGTTTTGTGTTTTGTTTTATTTGGCATTCTACAAAAACAGGACGCTTCATGGCTGCCGTTGCTGCCTCGCTTTTGGCCAGTTGTTCTTTTTTATTAGCATACTGATAAAAGCGAACGTGTGTGTGTGGCATGAACATTAAAAAAAACATGGAAAGATGAAAAGATGAAAAGATGATGGAAAAAGTAAACAAGTTTCCTAAATTGTGACCCGATTACCCAGTTAAGCAGTCTGCGGCCTCCGTTTATGAGTTATGGCCCATCCATTGCCTGTGGGAAATTGAGCCAATTGCTCGACATTTGCATAACACTTTGTATTGGCCGCAGACGTTTGTCTTAGAACGCCAGAGAGTATGTATAATCATTGTATATGCTCGAATCATTGACAATTGAAATGAAAGTTGAGTTCGACTTGCAGCTGGCTGAAAAGCAAACACAAAATACAAAATACAAAACAAAACCAAACGAGTTGCAGGCTAAATGGATAGATACACTCATTGCTGGCTGGCCACAATTGTTTCGGTTGTTTGTGATCTGTGCTCTGTGGCCGTGCCACATGCAATTGCGAGAGGAAATCTGGAGTAATAACCATAGCAATTTGGAGACAACACCGACCGGGAAATTACCGCCTGCCAATTGGCAATGCACTTTCATTTGAGATTCTTTTCGAGCAAATCAAAGTCAGAGCTCTTTTAGCTCTTTCCGTCTGCACTTCAGCACTTCTGCACTTTGAATAAATTTCTAAATGGCTTGATTGACAGTCGATGCTGCTGTGATTAAGCCGCATAATGAGACTCGGCTTGGCATTGGCTCCCTGCTTGGCTTTGAGTGGCTTTTGCTTTTTGACATTGACGTTGGCTTGCTGGCTATAGCTGTGGCTCTCGCTGGTGAGTCAGTCATAATTAGCGTTGTGCCCGTGTGACACTATCGACGGTGTATTTTGATTGAATGAAAGTTGAACTGTGTTTTTGAAAGTGAATTTCTGTGTGTGCGCGCCATTGAAGATGAAGCGAATCGAAAGCATTCAATTTGGGGCCTTTGGCTGTCGCAGAGGAAGAGGCAGAGACAGTGGCAGCGGCAGTGGCAGAATATATTGAACAGCATTAGACAATAGTTGGTCTAAGCGGTTCAGGTCCATTCAATTGGCATTTGGCTCGTTTGACATAACAACCACAACAACCAGAAATAACCAGGCGACAACAACAATAGCAACAACAACTCCCAGACGGGTTTTTCAAAGTGCAAAAACTGGCTGCTCACATTTGGTAAAATTTCACTTTTTCCTTTTTATTTGCTGAGGCTGCTGCAGCTGCTGCGAATACCCAGTCCAAGCAACAGTCACTCCGCACCACATTTGGTGTGCACCAGTTGGTTTAATTGTAAGCGACACTGTGTCTACATACACTACACGTAGTGGTGTCCCGTGTCCAGCATTTTGATCTGCACTCATAACGCGCAGGAGACCGACCTGCTCCCTGAGTAGTACTTCGGTTTCGGTGTCGGTGTCGGACTTGGCTTTGGCTTTGGCCAAAAACACTTCTCGCCCAGAAGCGGCCACAGTCATGTCTCAATTAAAGCTACCTACGGTGTTCGGCCTGCTGACAAATTGCCGCGTGGAATGGCAATGTGATTGTCTGTCTGCCTGCCTGCAACAGCAGTACACCAGCAAAACACTTGCAACACCAACACTTGCCACAACAGTTGCCACGACAACTGGCTGCAATTTTCGCACCATAAATGTGGAAGCGGTCTGCAGACTCAAAGCTTTTGAAGTGACAGCGGCGGCCTTGCGGGGCACTCTGAAATCAAGAGTGGTCTTTGCTGGGGCGGAAGGTCTGCTGCTGACAGATTAACTCCATCCCACATATGCACAAAAAAAGATGAAGTTTCAAAGATTTCGTTTGTTTTTTTTTTTTCTTTGCAGCCACAAAATGATTGGCACCCTCGATTTCAGGGTGCTGCTGGCGTTGCTGGCGTTGCTGTGCTCAACGAAAGCCACAACACCCACGACAGAAACACCTTCGGCTCTGCTGCCCCTGGAGGCCCGCAATGCGGACATTTCGGGCGAGGAGGACATCATCTCCACCAGCTATGTGCTGCCCAATCAGATATTCAACGAGGGCAAGCCGTACTATCCGCGTCACGATCCCGTCTCGGGGCAGCTGGACTTTAGTGCCAAGAAGCAGGCCGGCATCCAGCCCGAAATCAACGAGGTGCTCGATCCCAATGAGAAGATCGTCCTGAGTGCTGCGTCCTCGCCGAACATACACGACTTCCTCAACCTGCCCGTCAAGTACTCGTCCTCGAAGTTCGTCTACCCGCTGGTCTCCAGCTCGTATGCCAACCTGAAGTACCAGGGCAGCAACAAGAACTACATAACCAACAAGAAACCCACCTCCGTGGTGGCACCGGTCACGCCTCCGCCGCCCAGCTACCACAGCTCCAATTACTTTACGGTGCCGACGACAAAGCTCACGGCTGTGACCCCCACGGCAGGCGCCTACTATCCGCATCCCAGTAGCAGCAGCAGCAGCAGCAGCACCACTACAAGCACAACCACCACGACCAAGACAACCACCACAGCAGCGACCACTACCAAAGGAACCTTGCCGCCATCGCGGAGACCCATCCCCGTGACGACAACAACCAGCACAACAACTGTTCCGGCGGCCAAGTACACCATAACCTCCCGTCGGCCCATTCCGCTGCACGTTAGCATCCACAACCACACAGCCGCCACGCACCAGCACCACCCGCAAGAAGTTTGTGCCCACCAAGAAGTACAGCCCCGCATTGCCCAGCACCAGCAGCAGGACACCGATCGAGCAGGAGGAGCGACGTCCTGCAGCAACGCACCAGCCTCGTCCCACTCCCAGCAGCAGCGATGTGGCCTTCACCACCCACCATGCCACACCCCAGGCAGCCATCTTTCCCACAGAGCCCACAACGACCACGAAAATCTACACAACCTCTAGCACAAGTCCACCCGTTGTCTTCACGGAGGGACCCACGCCACCGCCGCCCTTCAGCCCCATACCAGGCACAGGCATTCCGAATCTGGATACTGCGGATGTGTACCACATTTTGGGACAGAAGAACACGCAGGCAGAGGAGCAGCAGCAGCAGCAGAAGGAGCAGCAGTTGCAGCAGCATCAGCAAGAGCAGCAATATCAACAACAGCAACAGGAGCAGCAGCAGCATGTGCAACAACAGCAGCAACAGCAGCAATATATGCAACAGCAACATATGCAGCAGCAACATATGCAGCAGCAACAGCAGCAGCAGCAACAGCAGCAGCAGCAACAGCAACAACAGCAGAAGCAACAGCAGCAGCAACAGCAGCAGCAGCAGAAGCAACAGCAGCAACAGCAGCAACAGCAGCAACAACAGCAACAGCAGCAGAAGCAGAAGCAACAGCAGCAACAGCAGCAACAACAGCAACAGCAGCAGCAGCAACCACAGCCCCCACCAAGGCCGCCCAATGACGCTCAGTGACATATTCAACAGCCTGGCCGAAGAAGAGTCCGCAGTGGCGCACAACTACCAACAGAACCAAGGATTCGATGCACAGGGCAATCTAATAGAACCGATTGCACCCTCAAAGCCATCGCCGTTCGCTATGCAACATCCACAGACCCGTCCCGGCGCACCACCCCAACGTCCAACCACACCAGGAATGCCCAACACTGCCGGACAGAGTCCATACCCCAGCGATCAGAAGGTGATCTCGGGCAGCCAGGAGAACTACAGCAACGAATATGTCTCCTACCAGGTGCAGCAGCCGAATGTGATGCAGTACCGACCCGTGCCCGGCCAAATCAACAACGTGGTCATCTCGCCCGGACAGCACTCGGCCTCCTTTGTGCTCGGCAGTCAGGTGCAGCAGGTGAGCGTGGGCCATCCCAGCGTCGAGAAGGAGCCACTCTTTGCCAAGGACACGCCGGGCGTGCAGTACGGCCAGGTGATCAGCGAGGATATTGGCAACATAAAGCGACCTGTGCCACCGTTCAAGCCCGCTGCCGCCCAGGAGCCAGCGATGCCCACGAGCTATCAGCAGATGCCGAGCGTTCAGCAGAACTCAAACTTCCATCAGAACGGAAACATTGCCACAGCTGGAACCACTGTGCCAGCCGGTTCGTACCAAGAGCCCCCGCCAGAGGCGCCCAGCCCATACCAGCAGCTCCCGCTGATCGGTTCCAGTCTGCGACCATCGAAGAAGCCAGCGCCCCCGAAGCCAGAACAGAGCGCAGCAACATCTTACCAACCCACTCAGGCGTCGACACCACACCAGACGCCACCCACACGGCCGGGGATGACACAGGGGGATGACACCAAAGATCTTCTCGTCTCCAGCAACATTCGGTTCCCAGTTTTGGCCGAGGAGTCCGCGGAACTTGCATCTTCGGCTGTTGTGCCCGGTCCGCCTGCCGGACCCCACATCAATGGCCATGCACAGCCGCTGAGCCTGCAGCAGCTACACAACTCCAATCCCGTTGTCTTTCCCAAGGTCAAAGACGAGGAGACGCCCGGCGCCAATGTGCAGATCCAGCAGCACGAAGTTGTCAACCTGAGCCAGCAGCAGAAACAGCAACTGGTGAGTCTGCTCTCATTGGGAGCATTGAAACCACTGAATCCGCCATCTAATCTTGCCTGTTTCCATCCTCCAGAAATTCCCTGCTCAGCAGCAGCCTCTACATGGCGAGCAGCCCTCTCGGGATATGGAGCCGCCGCCACGCTACCCCAGCACCTCGTCCGGGCCACAGGTTCCATCCACGCCCGGCAATCGTCCGCCCTTCTACAATGAATTCAGCCGCAAGCCACAGGCTGGCCCACGGCCCAACAACTTGCCCAACATTCTGCCCCAGTTCCGGCCCAAATGCGAAGATCTCCAACGGCCATCCGCCACCACTGAAGCAGGAGGCGGGCAACATCCGTCTGCCCGCGCAGGGCATGAAGCGACCCTACAATCCCTCTGCGCCGCCCCATTTCGCCCACCGCCGCCAGCCCCTGCAGCAGCAGCAGCAGCAGCAGCAGATGCTGCAGAAGCGCTACCCCATGAACCGCATCTCCGAGTATCCAGTGGGACCACAGGGGGGCATCGGTGGCGATATGAACAGACGCGTCTACCGCCAGCCACCCTACGGGGGCCAGAACATGCCCTACCACCCGGATCACATGTACGCCCGTCGTCCGAATGCTCCAGGTCCTGCCAATGGTCCTCTGCGATCTGTCGATGGCTACCCGGCAGAGCGGCATGCCCCGACAGCAGGCTCGGAGCCCTACCAGACCATCAACGCGGAGGGCGCGGCAGACTTTGAGGAGGAGGATCTGGTGATCAATGATCCGCCACAGCCGGTGACGCCCAGCAAGGATCGCATGGGCGTGGAGGAGACCAAGCTGGAGCCCGTGGTTACCCTGCAAATGCTGCAGTCCCAGAAGAAGGCGGTGAGTCTGCCCGGCGACGATACTGGAGCAGGAGAGATTCAGGTTACGGCCGACAATGATCCCCAGGAGGCGGAGACCTCAAATCTTAGTCAACAGACTCTGGACCCCAGTGGCATGTACGTGGTGTTCCCCCTGAAGGGCACGGAGAAGCAACAAATCGAAGGAGAGGCACCTTCTGCGCCAGCCGAGTACCAGAACACTCCGTTCTCGGTGATTCGTGACCAGCCCCAGGAGCCGATACTGAAGAATAAGAAGCCGCAGTCCCTGCAGCAGCAGAACAAGGCCCAGCAGATGCCCAAGGAGAAGTTTCCGTATCCAATCGAGAAACCCGATCCATCCTACTCCGAGCTCAACTCGAATCCCGTGCCAGGCGTACTGATTGCTCCCCGCATTATCCACGGAGCCTTTGGTACCGGAACAGAAACGCCCATTGCCATTGCCTACACGCCCACAGAGCCCAGCAGCTTCCGGCGAACGTCTGCACCTGGCGAACAGGATCAAAATTTCTCCAACATCAACCTGGCCACGCCCGTGATCGGCGAGATACGCCAGGACACCCAGACGGAGGAGGGACTAAGCAGCGACTTTGACCTGCGCGGCCAGAACTACGAGAAGAACTTCATGGCGCCCTTCTATCCGAGCGTAAGTCTGGGCGGAGGCGAAAGCGGAGCCAGCGGTGCTGCGGCCGTCCATCCCACACTCAACAACTGGAACATTGTGCCCTCCACTACGGATCAGGCGATCTACGAGAAGAACAACATCAACCGCGCGGATGTGGAGCCAGCTGAGGAGACGAGGGCAACGGAGTCGGTCACAGCCAGCGCACTGACAGCGGAGAAGAATGCCGAGCTGGACAGCTTCCAGCCGCAGCTGCAGGGCGGATTCAAGCCCATCTATCCGCCCGGCTACCAGCACGTGGAGCAGGTCGCGGAGCATGAAGACGCCAAGAACAGAGACCAAGACCAGCCACAGGCATTGCCTCTGGTTTCGGTCACCACGAGCACAGCGAAACCAGCGACTGCAGTCGCCATTAGCAGCAGCAGTTCGACCTCTACAAGCACAACCAGCACGACATCCACCACCAACCAGCCCGGAACCACGAAAGCTGTTGGCACAACAACCACCCAAGCGCCAGCTGGCAGCGTAAAGCCCACACAGCGCAAGAAGTCCACCTTTGAGACCAGCCTGGCGGCCCTCCTGTTCGGAGACGAGGACGAGGAGAATGGAGCTCGCAAGTCCGCGGAGGTGCCAAAGGCCCAGGCCGGACCACGGAATGTGCCTCGCATGGGACCCCGAAGTCTGACGCTCAGCTAAGTCGAGGCGCTCCGAGCTGTTAGTTTAGTCCAATTTTAGTTTGTATTATTTATTCAAAGTTCTTGAAAGCAGGGAATCTGCTTAGAAATAGACGATGTGGTAATCTAGTTCTTGTTCTACAGCTTATTGTTAGTCGTTAGCCCATACACATACACAAACAGAAACAGAAACTCATACACATACACGCAGCTAGACCATAGCCACCATAGCGAACCATCAAATCCCCATTTACCTAACGACCTTACGACCTTTTGCGAGTCTGATTTGAATGTATGTACGTACGTGGAAAACTTTCTCATTGGACTCCCGAATCGTCGGAAATGAGATAAACGATTTTTTTGTATTATTCCACCTAACACAAACCTTAAACAGTACTCACAATTTGCAAGATTATTATATGTACCATAGAAATCAATGGAAAATAAACGAAATTCTGATATTATAAATTATAATTGGGATATTTATTTCACCAGGTAAGGTTCACATAAAGGAACACTTAAATATCTTACATCTGGTTGTAAGGAAAAGTCGAAAAAAGGAGAATTAGTCAAACAATTTACGATTTGCCGTTTATCCATAGATTTTTATGAGCAATACCTTAAACGATGGCCAACAACCTACATATATACAAAAAATACAAAAACAAAGAATATAATTTTTATTTTCGACTTTTCCTAAAAGTATGTAAAGAGTAACCCGAAAATTATTTTATGATTTAAAATTCATATGCAACTAAAAGTATGCTACACTGTTTTTTTTGCCAACGCTTTAGCTAATTTCTGCTGCTTTCAACAATTGAAAACAACAAGTTTTGTTTTACAACAATCGACCACAACACAAAACCATGCCTTCTTCCTTTATTATTGTGTGACGGCTTCCTGTGATCGGAAAAACATTCTTGATCCTTGGATAACTACTTCGACATCACATTAGTTTCCTAATCGAAATTTTTATGCCTTAGGTCCTTTCCCGATCTGGCCATATTTGATTCTTTCGTGACCGGAAGAGTCCCGCCAACCGCTTGGCACCCGAAATAAATATTTATTATTTATTTATTTATTAAAAAATTCAAAAAATGTTATAACAGCAATATTTGTATTGTTCTTGAATCCAAAGTGATTGCGAAGTCATTCCATTTTCCGAACGTTGTACGAACAGGCAACGGGATATATGTAGATATATCCTGTATTATCCGGTTAAGGACACTGATGGGAAAAATAACTGCATCGGTAGTAAATTCAGTCTGATAAAACAAAAAAGATGGATGGATTTCAATGCATTCATTGGCCTGCATTAGTTTGAATGGATTACAACAATCTATTTCCCTCGACATCAATTGGTTTCAATGGATTTCAATTTGCTATTTCGATTGTTTTCAACCAACTTCAATCGTTTTCAATTACTCAAATCGGCTGAAATGCATTGAAACCGATTGAAAACCAATCCAGTCGACCAAATGATTTCTACATTACATTATACGCAAATTTGGACACGAGTATACACCGTACATGTGTAAATTCGTGCATGTAGATGTATGTAAAAGCGAAAAGGCAGCGTTTATGTATAATCTACATGCAAACATATGTACATATATGCATAGTGTATGGTGTATAGTTAGTGGCACTGGGCCCAATCTATACTCTTTCAAACGCAATCGAAAGGCGGTCTTTTTTCTATATCTGTATTTATTGATTGAGTACAAGTCAGTTTACAGTTTTACAAAATTCTTCGTGTGTATTAAATTTATTCTTTCTTCGCTTTTATGATAGTTAAAAACTGAAACAGAGTCGTTACTATATATGTGTATATGTATGTATGTATGTATGCCTGGGATGGACTGTGATTCCAATGTGATAATATAATATAATACTTATACATTCTATGCACGAACATTGGCAAGTGCATAAAATGTGTTTGATTGGCAACCGGAAATGAATTTTAAATTCATGATTTTCTAATGTTTGGCCTCACATAGAACCCATTTAACAAGACGATGCAATGAGGTTGAAGTGTTATATGTATGCTCAAATGGACGACATCAATTTCTTAACAATCCGGTACAGATTAACTCCTCTGAATGGTATATACACATATCATGCTTTACAGATCGATTTGCAGCTATTTACACTCGTGCGATCTTAATTAATTTCTCTGTTGAACAGTTTCTAAGCTGCTAAAGTAAGTTGCTTCAGTTGGAGCCGAACGATACTCATTGATTTTCGATACAATAATCAAATCTAGAATATTTTTCTATCGTTTGTATAATGGAAACTACTAGCCAATTCATAAATGGTGGCTCTCAGTCTTCGCCTTTTCACTTTTAAAATATGTATTCGTTTTTCTGATAATTGAGAGTCTAATTGCAGCCGAATTAACACAAACAAAAATATGTGTAAGAAACGAAGAAAAAAATATAGAAAAACCATAAGTCAAATCCAATAATTGTACACGTATTAAATTTTCCAATTGATCGGCCATCACGTGCTATCAATCATGTGTGTTGTTTGGATGGGTGTATACATATGTATTTATTTTCAAAAACAAAAACTTAAAACCTACGCCGAAATTAAGCCCGTTTTTGGGCTGGATAATGGCCAATGGTAAAAGGTTCTCGAATCGGGGCACCAGCTGTACAGTTTTCAGGGGGATAATTGGGGGAGGGGGGTGGCTTTCAAGTCTTACAACCTCACGTTGAAAAGTCTACATAGATATAGATATTTAACTCTTGTTTTACCTTAAATGGTAGCTAATAGTTACAGTTAAAATGTATGTATTGCAATATGCCATTATATATATATATGTAAATGTGTATATTTGTATTTAGATTTTCTTGTATAATAATTTTGTAGACATAATCGTTTTTATACAGAGTTTAGACCAAACAAAATTCAAATAAATTAATGTATATAATGTACGTGATAGTATGTATGTGTATGTATAAAGAATAGCTATGCCATTTTTGTAGGAGTATACCAGCGACAGGTTTGATTAATTAGAATAAATACTTTCCGCTCTGTTGTGGGCGGGGGGGATGCGCACTAATTTAGCATAAAATGTATAGCAAATGTAAATTTGAAGGACTAGGAACCAGTACGATGTACGATATATGTATGTATGTATGATTATGTTTAGGTAATATGCATACAAAACGATATATTAGACACAATATTTCAAAAACTAATACAAACGATTTGATTACTCTTATGCGCTCTTGGCAAAACATTCTTAATTTTTAGTAGAATAATTTGGCTTATCTGCAATTGCAATCTGCTCTATACACAGGATACGATACGATACGGATACGGTAACTAAATCTAGAAACTAAATATAAATTTTGTTGAATTATTCTCCCATCGAGTGGGGGTGTACTCGTACTGCCGGCTGTGAAGGAAATTTGAATCTCAAGGAATTGAACGTAACTTCCCAAACTCATTAAACAAAAAAGTTTATAAAGGAATCAGTGGCATGGCTTATTAAACTATCCTGGGGCTATCCGCCCTGGCCGCTGCTCATCGCCTGATGCTTCTTCTTGTCGAATATGGGCAGTTTCGACTTGACCGCTCCCTCGCACACCATCATCCGCTGGTGGGCCGGCTTCTTGTCCAGATCGAAGCACAGGGCATCTGGGTTTAGGTGTCGCTTGAAGTCCGAATAGCGGCGCGACTCATACGAGAGGTAGTTGGAGCCCAGCGCAGAGGCAGCCACAGCCGCGGCCACAGTACCATTGCCGTTCCGATGATGTATGGACGGCGGCGTTGAGTCCTGGCGCTTGCGCTCAAAGTACTCCACAATCTTGGCTATTTGGGCCGATCGTGTGCTCGGCAAGGCCGTAAAGGAGCGATCGTCCCAGAGCAGCGAATCGGAACCCGCCAGGCTGCTGATATCATCCGAGCTGTCCGTGTAGATGGACGAGGTACGATTCTTGCAATACAGCAGCTGATTCGTGGCAAACTGACTGCGCTGCAACAGCGAGTGTATCTCCGAGTCCAGGGCCAGGCGATTGATCAAGCCGGCCGTGGCAGCCATCTGCGGATCGCTCACATTGCCGCTGAGCAGGGCGTGATGGCAGGTGTAGCGACGTTGGTGCGGACGCGGCGCCACAATTTCGGCATCCAGATCATCCATGGAGTCCAGCGCCGTGGACGACGATGTGTTGGCGCCAATGACTGCGGCGGGATCGTTGTCGATCAGCAGCACCGACGATGAGGTCGAGGAGGTGTCATTGAGCAGGTGATTCTGCTGCTGTTGCTGGGCAGCAGCGGCTGCAGCGGCCACAGCAGCATTCGATGTAGAAGTCGCATAGTAGCAGCAGCGACACAGGCTCGCCAGTTTATCGCTGAAATCAGTTGAAGATTAGTAAGGTATTCCACGCGGATTTAGCAGGCAAACTCACTTGATTTCACTGCTTGCGCTGCCTGCTGCGTCGAGCATAAGCTGCGTCTTCAACTGCTCGTAGCAGCAGTTGCTGCTACTGCTGGCCGCGCCGCCGCAACCAAACCCCAACGAGCCCATTCCGTTGAGCTGCCTGCTGAAGCTGTTGTTGGTGATGGCCGCGTCCGACTCCTCGTTAAAGCACGAGAAGAAGCCGCTTTCGATGGAGTCGCGCCGCGTGAGGTTCGTTTTGAGCTGTTCGCACGAGTTCTTCAGCTCTTCGGCGTTCAGATCGCAGGCGTTCTTTAGTTCCTCCAGCTCTAGATCGGTGCACGATGAAACGGAGGCGGGTGTCTCCGCCAGGCGAGCCGAAGAGCCGGACAGGGGTGTGGGTGAGGCGACTGCTGTGGCCGAACCACTGCCCGAAGGCAGCTCTTTGGACTTCTTTCCACAGTCGGTCAGATCCTCGCAAGAATTCGAATCAGCGGCAGCTGTGGCGGCAGTCAGCGTGATCGTCGAGGCACTGGCCTTCAGCAGCGTACTGCTCTCGAACTCACTGACGCTGTTCTTCATGCTGGTGCCACTGGGGCCGCCCCGAAACAGGGGATGCGTGTAGAGGGAGTTGGCGCGGTACTTGCGGGCCGCTGGGACTGTGGAGGGGCGCACAGCGCTGTCGTCGCTGCTCGACTCGGCATCGGCACAGTTGCCGCCTCCGTCGGGATCCTCGCCCTCCGAGGTGCAATCATCGCAGTCGTCCTCTTCCGCCGGTGGAGCTTCCGCCACTGCCGTGGCTGTGGCTGGCACTGCCGCTGCATTGCTGACCCGCTGGGGCAGCTTTAGCTCCATGCCGCTGTACTTGCGCGTCATTTGCGGCGAGACGGGCAGACTCTTTGGTTCACTGGGCGTCGCTGGTGTCGCGGCTGCTTTGGGAGCTGCAGCTTCACTGCCGTCTGCTGGCGCTGTGCCCTGAGCCACGGCCTTGCTCTGCATGGCGGCCAGCTCCTTGAAGAACGGCGCCAACATCTCGAAGCACGAGCTGAACAGATCGCCCACTC